CTTTTGTGACCTTCTGATAAGAAAAATCAATGGGGGAAGCCAGATTCACTTAACAACTGGGTGACTAACTTACCGACGGAAGTAATTCACTTAACAATTTTGGGCAAGAGAGGTCGTAGAATGGAACAAAACTCAACAAATGCCTCCCTTAGCAACAGAAATTTGGAGCTCAATTGTGGTTGGAAGCAAGGACTATCTGTACACAAAGACTTTGGAAGGTCAGACAAGCGACCTTGTGGGTTCATTTTTAGAACATTTGAAACCTTCCAAAGGACTGTCCTACATTTGCTTATAGTTTCATTCTATTCTAAACTAGAGCTTGAGTGCTAAAAATATTATGCTCTGGAGAATGACCTGAAGACTTTTATTTATTTATTTTTACTTTTAAGATAACTGTAATTACTTTTACTGTAAATTCTGTTATTTGGTCGGTTCCCCCTCTGTATCTGAGTCAGGGTTGTTGCTTTGTACTTTCTGTACAAGGTTGCTGCCTTGTACTGTTTTGTTTGCTTTGTGCTGATCATTGACCAAATTAAAAAAAAATAAAGTTCTTATCACCACATGCAACCCTGCCTGCAGCGCAATCTGTATTTGCTGTTTGCCACATAGAAGTGTTTGCTGGATGGAAATGTTGTTTGTTAACATGCATTGGACAACTCATCAAACTTCCGGGCTGGGAAAGTGTACTTGCAAAGTTCTTTCAAGTCCTCCCTCACCTTTCCCGATAAATCGTGAGTTTTCGTGCCTTATCACCAGCTGCGGAAGCACAACATGTCCATTTGGAAGATGCTAGAGAAGATAAGAGATTTTAGAGTCTCTGACTTAGTTGCAGCCCTTTCACCAAAACGGGGGAGAAAAGTACCCTCAACTACCCCCAGCCCTATATTTATTTGGATAAAGACAAGATAATTTGAAAACGAAACACTAGAGGGAACTAAAGATTTCAGTTAATGGAAATAATATATACGAGCCTGATTTACAGTTAATGAACTGGGACATATAAACATCAATAGTGATGTTTGTTTCTATGGATAGACTGTGTCCAAAAGATATCATGGAAGAAATGGCAGTTTTAGTTGACAATATCGAGATGGCACCGAAAGTGGATCTACAAATGACAGCTACAAGAAGGACAAGAAAATGGATGTCATTATGGTTCACATTTTAAAAGCAAAGGAAAATACAAAAACAGGCAATCCTCAATGTCAAACCATTCGTTTAACCATCACTTGAAGTTACAAGGGCACTGAAAATAATGACTTACAATTGGTCAACCCACTTAAAACTGTCGCAGCATCCGCACAACTACGTGTTCAAAATCTGAGGGCCTAGCAACAGGCATGTTTTTTTTCTTCCCAGCATCATGTAATTGCCCTTTCCAACAAGGAAGCCAATGGGGGAAGTTGGATCTAAGTTAACTACTGCATGATTTGCTTAACAACTGCAAGAATTCACTTAACAACAGTGGTATAAAATTTTTGCAAAATTAAGTGAGACTCACCTAACCACCATGTTGCTTAGCAGTCGAAATTCTGCTTCCTGTAAGGGCTACCTGTAATAAACTAAGAGAGTAAAGGTAAAGGTTCCCCTTGCACATGTGTGCTAGTCATTTCTGGCTCTAGGGGGCGGTGCTCATCTCCGTTACAAAACCGAAGAGACGGCACTGTCCGAAGACGTCTCCGTGGTGGGCAAGACTCAACACCTGAAGGCCACGAAATGCTGTTATCTTCCCACCAAAGTGGTCCCTATTTTTCTACTTGCATTTTTTGCGTGCTTTCTAACTGCTAGGTTGGCAGAACCTGGGGTAAGTAATGGGAGCTCACTCCATTAAGTAGCGCTAGGGATTTGAACCATCAAACTGCCGACCTTTCTGATCGACAAGCTCAGCGCCTTAGCCACTGAGCCACCGTGTCCCTTTCTTTGCATTGGATTTATAAAAGAGGTATGTTGAATCTCTGAAGAATCATGAGAGAGAAGGGACAAAGAAGAAACAAAATCAAAGTCTACATTATTTGAATGGATTAAAGATTAAGACTGATGGAAGTAAAAGGCAATATAGTAGATTTATTTGATCGAATTTTTAAAAAAGTTCTGAAAACTTTTCATGGATTTTCTGATCACACTACAACTGAAAAGATGTTTTAATAGATTTGTTTATAAAGAGATGGGATACAGGATGAACAGTTCATTGGTGGTAAACTAAGAGGATGATGACAAAAAATTGTCTATACTTGTGATGGAGGTTGGAAGTCAATTCATTATGCGTTTGTTTTTACTATCTTTTCTTTTTTTGTTTATCTCCTTTGCAGCTTTCACTTTTAGTTTGCATTATATTTTATTGTAATTAAAATCCTATACACACACACACAGACACACACACACAGACACACACACGGAGTGCCCCCTTTTTATATAAGGATGTTCTTGACACTTGAATACATTTTTTTGCTATGATTAAAAGGTACTGTATATTAGCAGAAAACAAACCAAAGAGTGTTTGTCAATCTTTTCAAGTCCTTGTGATCACCAGATGTTGGGTTGAATATTCCCAGAATTCCCAATTCTATCTCACTGAATTCAGGGACTTCAGTCTCAATATAACTGACGACTGGATTCAATTCATTGAAAAATGAAGCCAAACTCAACCCCTCTTCTCTGAGAAAAGCAACAATTATATGGCTTAATGTTAAATATCAAGAACCCGTGAAAAGACCAGATTGTTATTCGATTGAAATATGGTGTTGTTTAAAAGGTACTCATTAAAAAATAATATTCAACTCTAACCTTAACCCTGTTAACATCCGCAGCTTCTAACATTTCATTAAGATGGTTTAGCTTCCTTTTTCCAATCCAGTTCCCAAGGACACACTTTAGTTGGAGATGGGGCACAGGTTTTTCTGCACGAAAAATGGGCTTTTTCACTCCGTTATGACGCCAAAAGCATGGTGACCTAGCTAGATGAGGCAATGTATTTTGGAGCAGGAGACAGTGGTCCTTTACCAGCCAGTTGCTGGGGTCATTCGCCAAAACTTTCACAACCTATTTTAGGTTGGCTCAACAGATTTCTATCTCTGCCCTGCAGCGGGGCTAGAAAACTGTGTATGTAAAAAAAAAAAAGGTTTTGAAATCCAGCTAGAGGACATAAAAACTACATTTCGTGGTTCCCTAAATTCCAGAATTCTTTTTAATGATCACGCCAAAAAGAGATTTCAGGCAGTCACACTGAAAAATATTAAGACTAAGATTAATCCTTAATCCAGAGTTGCTTGGTAGAGGGATGGGTAGCATATAAATCTTAATAAAAAATCCTCTATTACCTATTTGAAAACTTTCATTCACAAATAATTCATTTCAGTTCGGCAGGTATACGTATTCCCAAAGCTGCAAGAAATTCATTGGGGAATCAATAGATTTAAAGGAAGGAGTCTGGGATGAGAGAACCCTGGAAAGTGACTTCAGCTTTTAAATATCTACTTTATTGAGAAATATACAAGTGTAGTATTGGGAGACACAAAGAGGCAAGAACTACAGGGCAGCGGATACTCCCTTCGTCTAAAATCCTGCAACGAAACTCTTTTTCTAGGAACCTCTCAGACAACTTGCAGCTGATCTTTTTTCCTAAAAGAAAGTAGAAACTGTTTTCCTTTCCTGGGTCCAGTTTCATAATCGAACACTTCATTTGGTAGACTTGGACAAAGTACATCAAGGCGGAATTGGATAAGAAAGCTGAATAAGCATATCAGGAGATTTTAATGCTAGCAGAGAAGGGTAAATTATTAACCGCATGAAGAACTACAGTTCTAGATACCAATATCAGGGAAACTAGATAAGTATGTTCTAATCCAGAAAAGGTTATGTATTCAGGGTTGCTCTTCTGCCTTGGCCATATTTGTGTGTTCAATGCAACAGGTCATCACATTTAGAACAGAATCTCAATGACTGACCATTTACATAAGAGCTTTTTTTTTGCAAGAAAAGAATTTTATGCAACAGCAAAACCATTATACGAAAATAGATTTGACTCTGCAAATTATAGGCCTATTACTTTATCTAGCACAATAAATAAACTTTATGGCAGATTTTATACCTTACATTAGCGGGTTGGGCACCAAATGGAATTTTTTCATTGCCGAAAAACAGGTGCGGTTTAGAAAGCAAAAATCAATATTAGATCATTATTGGGTTCTTCGCCACTTGGTGGAAAATTTTTCCGTGCCTCCTTATGGCTCCCTTTTACCAACCTTTGCTGATTTTTAAGCCAGCTTTTGACCTAATACCAAGTGAGGGATTGGGGGAAAAGTCTTGAGACATTTCCCTATTGACCAAAGGCTACCTGTGCTTATTCAGTGTGAGAGGTAACTCGACAGATTGCATCCCTTAAAGTCAGAGGTCTCCAAACTTGGCAACTTTAAGACTTGTGGACTTCAATTCGCAGAATTTCTCAGCCAGCATAGCTTCAGAGCAGAAGTTGGCATTATATGAGCTTTTTGTTCCACTCCTAATTTAAGATAAAGGTAATGGTTCCCCTTGCACATACGTGTTAGTCGTTTCCGGCTCTAGGAGGCGATGCTCATCTCCGTTACAAAAGCCGAAGAGCCAGCGCTGTCCGAAGACGTCTGTGGTCATGTGGCCGGCAGGACTAAACGCCGAAGGCGCACGAAATACTGTTGTTACCTTCCCACCCAAGGGGTCCCTATTTTTCTACTTGTACTTTTTACGTGCTTTCGAACTGCTCAGTTGGCAGAAGCTGGGACAAGGAACAGGAGCTCACTCCGTCACGCGGCATTAGGGATTCGAACCTATTTAATCTATTTAATTTAAGACATGACCAAGCAAAACAATTGCTGAAAGAGATTATGGTAGTGGTTCTTAACCAATGGTCCACAGACCCTTGGGGAGACATGATGTCATCACAGAGGCTCCGCAAAGGCTTGAAAAAGATGTTATAATTTAAATCTTGAGGGTCCCTGGCCACAAAAGCTATTTAAAAAGGGGGCCCATGGTGAAGATAAGGGATATGGCATTTCAGACAGAAGTCAACAGGCTATTCCAACCTGGGAATAAAAAAGAGCACTTGGGAACCATCAAGAAATCTACAAAATCTGACTTTCCCCAAACTGTGGATGGCATTTTTCAAAGCCAGGCATAACATCTGACCATCAGCACTGCTGCAAGACAGATATTCCAAAATCCCATTAACTGAGCATGTGGCCACAAAGAGATCAAAATCATTTTGCATATATTCATATATTATAAACTAAGGGACATCACGTCTGCATATATTCTGCCCTTAATAAGTAAATTTAGTCCCGCAGTCACTTTGAAACAAGATGAGTGTCAAATAAATTTAACAAAATAGAACAAAAATTTCCAGGGAGACCAGACACTTTCTGTATGAACCATGTTCTACAAATTGGAAACCCGTTGTCACCTCTGCAATAGCCAAATTCTGTGTTGTTGCAATGAAAATAAGGCATAACTGGTTTATGGAAATATTTTTGTTTTATTTACCATTTTAGATTTAACACATACTGGCTTTTTTATAGATGGTATTTATTTTACTGCCCTGCGATAGAGGTACACTTGTACAAGTAATTAATGTACTGTTAGAGCAGTCACATTTGCACCTGTGTTTGCTTCACCTTTTCCATTTTACTATGGTGTTGTAATTTTTTAAAAACTTTTTTTCTGGTCACTGACCAAATAAACATTATTATAAAACAGAGTCTCCAGTTGAAGGGGAGGAGGGAGAGTGATCTGAAACTGGGAAGTGCTGGAACAGGACAATTCTTTCTCAGTTCCTGCTCTCTCTTTGAAGGCAGCCCACCGCAGAAGCTACAGGAAGAAGAGCGTCTCGCACAGCTCATTTGATGGCTCGTGGTGGAGAATGTGCCCTGAATGAAAAGCCACCTTATGCGCATATTTGCACGGGGCAGGCACCCGGATAGTTCCTGGCCAGTTCCAGTAGAGGTGGCAAAGTTTGAAAGTCAGCCTATTAAAAAAAAACAGGAATGCGAGAAGGAAATTCCTGATTAGAATGCCTGCTTCTATAAACCTGGATCCATAATGTATTTCTCTTACGGGTTGACAAAATCCCTGATCTCCAATACAGTCCAATCAGAATCGGTTCTTAAATGCTGCAAGGGAAAAACGATTGATTCCCCTTCGTTTATTTTATCCTCTTGCAACGGAAACTCCTCACTTCATCCAGAAAGAAAGAAAGATATATAAACACCTTCGCCCTGCTTCAAGCTTGAGAAGAAAAATATTTAACAGAATGAGAGTTGGAAGGGACCTTTGAGGTCTTCTAGTCCAACCCCCTGCTTAAGCAGGAAACTCTATAGCATTTCAGACAAATGGTTGTCTAATCTCTTCTTAAAAACCTCCAGTGTTTGCATCAACTGCAAAACTCTGTCTTGGCCAAACAGCTGCATGGAAGCCCCAGGAAATTAGGCAACTAGCAGACAGTTTTGGGCCATCCCATCATCTTGCAAAGAAAGGCATAATGTGAGTGGAGGATTACCTCCCAGGCAATTGCTTTTTAAAGCAAGAAAGTCCTAATTTCTCTCGCCTTTCATTCAGGTTGCTGTACTGAGTAAGAAGCAAAGCTATACGCACCACTTTCCAAGAAAATATTTTAAAAACCGATGAAACAAAATCCTAACTTTCATAATTACAATTCCCTCCAACATCCTTTTGCTGTGTTCAGCACTTCCTGGTTTGTTTATATCTTCATTCGATTCATATTCCGCCTCCTGTACAATTAGAAAGCAAACTACTTTCACCTACATAACACTCACCTCTGCATGTGATCAGGAGTGAGATTGGCTGTATTCCTTACACAGACGTAGTGAGTAGGGATGCCGCAACCTTGTGGCGAGTAGTGGGCTATCAAATAAAAATCCACCCTAACAAGAAAGAACCAAAAGGGGAAAAAAAAAAGCAGAGTTGAACCTTCTATCAATTCACAGAGAAAGAATTAAGTCCGATTCTTTTATCACCTTCAAAATGGAGGCCTGGAACAAAAGAAAATACCCGTGGTTGCTATTTAAATTGGCAAAGCCAAGATATGGGAACAGCTCTGAACAATCCAGACGGGGATTGCAATAGTTTGGGATAATTTATAATGCTGGGCCAGGGATTCCCATGTCATACGTGGGGAGAGAAGGAAGAATGATCACGCCACTGAGTACCAGCCATCAATTTTACTCAACTCTGGGGGGACTGTCAGAATACGAAACCCAAGAGAACCACCACAACCATACTGGTCTCTAGACAACACCCACCTAAGCACCGAAAGGCTAGTTCTTATTGCTCACTACTCCTCTCTTCTCCTCTCTCCTCTCTTCCCTAGTTCTGCTACAGCTCTTACTACTGCTCTTCCGCTGCTACTCCTTACTACTGCTGTAGAAGAGTATCTTACTCTTTGCCTTAGGCTTCTTCTGGCTTATTTCTATAAAAGCACACAAGCCGCCTTCCCTCTCACTTGAATACACGCACACATACCCCAGCTGCCTTTCTGTTCAGCTTTTATTGCCACTAGTCGTTGTGTTGACTAGGGACGAGGGCAACGGCAGCCCAACAGGAGCCAGCTGTTTTGCAGGCAGCCTGACCTATCACACTGATGGATGACTGTCTCGGTTCTGGAAACCTCCCACGTGGGTGTGTGTTTAATGTACGGTATAGGAAAGACTATAGATAAAATAAAGCTGACAAAAGGACTGTGGGGCCATGGTTGATTTTGATCACCTGGAAATCAGCTATTTTTAAGTTGGAGGGGAAATGCCTCGAGATGCATTGAACAGAGTAACAGAGTTGGAAGGGACCTTGGAGGTCTTCTAGTCCAACCCCCTGCTCCAGCAGGAAATTCTATAGCATATCAAAGCATATCATGCTAAAAGCCTCCAGTGTTTGCATTAACTGCAAAGCTGTCTCTATAGGAAGAAAAACAGTATTTTTTTTTTAATCATGGAAGAAAGGAAAAAATGCAAAGATTTTAAATGTCTATGGAGATAGTCACCCGCATCATGACTGTCCCAAAAGTGCTTTTTTTTGGTTGTTGTTTCTTTCTTTTTCTATAGGCAACTGGACTTTCTGGTTTTTCTTGAAGATGTTTCGTTTCTCAGCTCAAAAGCACCGTTGGCTTTAAACTCCCCACTTCCCAGCAGCGGTTTCCAAAAGGTCCCGGGAGCTCTGGAGGAGGTGAGGGGGAGGGGGTGCTGGGCGAAAACCCTTTTCACTCACCAGTCTCGAGAGGTGGCTGTATGGTCCAACACCGTCCCTGGAGGAGGGGATGAAAGCTGCTGAGCAGCTGATGAATAGATGTTGGTGCTGATCTGTTTCTGAACCACAAACACCACCATTTTAGGGTTGTAATTATTAAAAGCTTCAAAGCATTTCTCCAGCTGGGGGATTTCATAGCTTTCTACTATTTTCAGCTGGCCATCCGAAACGCCGTCTCTATAAATCACTATCTTCTCCGGGAGATGATGGTTGACCTTCGAGAGAACAAACATCCAACAATCAGATTTGACCCACAATTACAACGATTTCTTGTTCTCTTTCCTTCTGCCTGATCTGTAGCAAAAGGCAGGGGGAAAAAAAGAATCTAAATTACAGGGAGTCCTCAACTTTCAGCCACAATGGAGTCCAACCAGGGGTGGGATGCTATAGGTTTGGCCCCAGGCTCTTGGCTGTCCGTTTATTTCCTGCTTTTTCAACCTCAGCTGCTTTGCGCGGCACAGCTGAGGTTGAAAAAGCGGGAAAAAACAGGCTTTTCAAAAGCTGCGCAGCTGCGTGCTACGCTTTTCAGCCGTCTGAGCGGCACAGCTTAAGGTTTGTTACATGTGCGCACAGCGCACGTCAGGTGCGTGGGCAGGGTGCATCAGGCACACGTGTGTGCAAAGCACGCAGGTGTGCGCAAAACACAGTCACCGAACCAGAAGTAACACCGGTTGAATCTCACCCCAGAGTCCAACATTTCTGTTGCTAAATGAAACGGTTGTTAAGCGAGTTTTCTCCCCATTTTGCAACCTTTCTTGGGACTAAAGACAACCTGCAAAGTTACTCCTGCATGGCCCCAGGGGAGTCTGACAACCAATCAGGATACATTTCTTGGCACAGGAACAGGAAGCAGGTTCAAAGCCCAACAGAGGGTGTCTCTCTCTCTCTCTGTCTCTCTCGCCATACTACCCTGAACGTGCCCGATCCCGTCTGATCTTGGAAGCTAAGCAGTGTCAGGCCTGGTTGGTACTCGGATGGGAGACTCTCTCTCACCCAGGTCCTGCTGTCCACCATTAAACCATCTTTCCAAGCAGCTTGCATGTTTCCAGTGTCTCTCTTCCCACATGGAACTGAACCCAGAGGGACATTTCTTCCAACACCTGTGTCCCAGGGTCATTGTGACTTTCTGACAAGCAAAGTCAGTGGGGAAGCTGCACTCACTTAATGACCGGGTTGTTAACTTATCAACTGCAACGGTTCGCTTAACAACTGTCGCAAGGAAAGTCATCAAATGGGGCAAAACCCACTCAACTAATGTCTCACTTAACAGAAATTTTAGGCTTAATTGCCATCATAAGTTGAGGACTAAGAGTAAAGACAGCACAATGAAACAAACGTACCTTCTCAAAAAAATATGCAAAACAGTTAATCTGGACAAGCTTCTCTATAAATTCCAGAGAACTGGAAAATAATAGTTTGTTTCTCACCTCGTGGAATTTCTGCAAAGCAGCTACTAAACAGACCTTTAGGCTGTCTATTATTTCTTGATGAGGCGTCTGGAATATAACCTTGGAATACCATTGTGTCACAATTCTGGTGGCAGAAAAGGAGATGATATTAATCATGTTAATTCAAAACATAAAGCCTCATGATTCACCGGTTAACTTTTCAGCGCCATCATAGCCTTGGAATGCTTTTAACACTGCCACGCTTAAAGATTAGATTAGTGGTGGCTAAATATTGGGGACGAAATTGGGATATTCAAAGAAATGAGTGGTATAATGAAGTTTGGAGTATGACAACAAACGATAAATTAACAAATTAAATTTTTAAAAAAGGGATGACTAAAGTAAACAATTATAATGTAGTATGGGGAGATTTTATAACAACAGCGTTGGTGGAAGGCAAAAGAGAATAAACCTACTCAAGAATGTATGCTGTTTTAGACAGGATAAGGGCACAATTGGAATATATTGTATATCTTTTAATTGTTATGGAAGAGGAAATATAAGGAAACAAAAAGGTCTCATCCTCTTCGTGTCTTTCCTTCCAGGTTTCCCAGCATCAGGGCCTTTTCCAGAGAGCTGGATCTTCACATCGTGTGTCCACAGTAGGATAAATTTGAGCTTGGTCATTTGTGTCTGGAGTGAGAACTCTGTTGACTCTACTGATTCGTTCGTTGGTCCATCAGTTTGTTTTCTGTGCTGACCATGATATTCTCAGCCGTTTCCCCCAACATCAAACTTCAAAAGCATCAAAACTGCTGCTATCCTGCTTCTTTAAAAATCCAATTTTCATTTCCCTAGAGTGTCAAAGGAAATATCATGGCTTGCATGACTCTGGTCTTTACAGGTATGGAGACATCATGGCCTCTGAGTATCTTTTCCAAGACTGCCTTAACTGATTGCTTACTCCTGTGATGTTGACGGTAGATCCTTAAAGGCAGAAATTATCCACCATTTCAATATCTTCATTGTCAGTTCTAAGGCTGGCTGCTCTACCTGTCATTATTGGTCTTCTTAAATTGCCGGTCTTCTAATTTCACGTTCGTCCCAAATTTTCACTGTGCTCTTTGTCTTGTAGTACTTTGCAGATGCTTTGCCTTTTCCACCTGGCCTCTTATTAAATCGAAAAGAGAGAAGAAAATTCTCCCCAGCCCCATGGCAGTCAGTGGCTCCTGGGAAACGATCAGGATTAAGACCTGCTGAAACTGGTTCCATACCCAAGACAAGAGAGAGGGAAGACTGAGGGAAGACTTCTCTTTCTAGAAGTCAGCGGATGGGCAGGTGGTGGCACACTAGGGAGAAGGGTGGAGAAGGCGGCGGAGCAAGTGAACCTGTGAATTAAGCTTAGCTCACAAATCAGCCAAGGATACTGTTTTCGATAAAAAAACCCCGAATACATAAATCATAAGCAGCGTGTTTTCCCCCCGCCATTCCCGAGACCAGAACCATCGAATATTTGGAAATCAGCCTTTCAGAGTCGAAGGAGTTTCTTAGATGAGCAGCAAAATGTCTTCAAAAGAAAAAAAAAAACCCCAGAAAGTCCAGTTGCCTCTTGAAAAAAAGCACCTTTGGGACAACCATGACCTGGAGGACTGAGAATCTCCACAGCCATTCAGCATGAACATAAGCAAGGACCCCAGATCTGAATGCCAAAAAGGGTTGTTTTTTTTTTGTTAAAGAGGACACTTACGGACTGGTACTTGCCACAAAGCCCAACATGGAGCGCTTCCCCCTGGTGGGATCATGATACACATCTATGCCAATCACCATCAGCTGTTTCTGGAAGGAAGAACAAGATGTTATTCTCCACAGGCACAGCTGCCAAGAAGGGATATCCAGCTAGACAGACAGACAGATGTGCTTAAAGATTTCCTGTTTGCTTTATTTATGCCTGCACTTATTTTTCATAAACAATTCAAGGCAGTGGACATACCTCTCACTCCTTCTCTCCCCACAGCAACAACCTTGTGAGGTAAGTTGGACTGAGACTGGGGGACCTGTCCAAAGTCACCCAGCTGGCTTTGGTGCCTAAGGCAGGACTAGAACTCACCGTCTCCTGGTCTCTAAGCCTGGTGTTTTAATTATTAAACATAAAAGTGCCCTTTCAAAAGGCAACTGGACTTTGGGGTTTTTTTTTCTCCCTTCCTTCAAAACATTTTGCTTCTCATCCAAGAAGCTTCTTCAGTTCTCGGATGAGAAGCGAAACGTTTTCAAGGAAAAAAAACAAAAGAAGTCCGACTGCCTCTTGAAAAAGCACCTGCATGATTGAGAATCTCTGTAGACATTTTAACTACTAAACTGGCTCGTTTCATCAAAGCGTGCTTGAAAAAAACCCACAAAGTGTATAGAAGCCTTACAGGCAGGGCTCTGAGCACTCCACGTCTGGTGAGTTCCCTCCTCAAAATTGGTATTTCTGCCCATTGAAAGTTCCCTAAATTTGCAGGTGGCTCCCTCTGGCGCCTCCAACTTGAGAATGCAGCAGAGAAAAACAGGAAGCAAGCAAGCTGGCGCGTCACTCCTAACTTTAACCTGAAATCTCTCTCCCCTACTTCATTCCTTTTGAGCCTCTGATCTCAACACAATGCTGAGCACTTGTCTTTATTGCATGGGAGTTTCCCATGGCTCAGCCATAATTCTAGTTAATCTTGATTCCCGGTGACTTTAATAAGAGTGCACCTCCCCTTTGTTATCACCTTCCATAAAAGGACTATGACAAGGTATTTTTCCAGCTGAAATTTCTGGTGTGTTTTATGTTTTTGTTAAACGTGATAAATAACTTTCTCTACTCAAACACATTAATTGGTTAAGTATAAGCACTTCAGGAAGCAAACACTGCCGAAGATAGTAACATTTCTACTGTTAGCATTCCAAGAGAAAGCTCTCTTTTGTAATAGCAATAGCCCTGAGACTTACGTATATACCGCTTCACAAGTGCTTTTCAGCCCTCTCTAAGTGGTTTACAGAGTCAGGATTTTGCCCACAACAATCTGGGTCCTCATTTTACCTTGGAAGGATGGAAGGCTGAGTCAACCTTGAGCCTGGTGAGAATCGAACTGTTGGCAGCGGGCAGTTAGCCTGCAATACTGCAATGTAAGCACTGCACCAGCATTGCTTAACCCAGAAAAGATTCCCAGTTCCAATTTTTCATCACATTCTTATACTGTTCGTTGTATTAGAAGAAGCAACCCAAGCATTCCCCTGTTTTGTGCAGAAGTTGGAATCTTACGAATCTTTTCTATAACCTGGCTTAATCCACAGACAATGTATTTCTACTCTACAAAAAAGGGGCAATGAATCTGATCATTTGGGAAATGTTGTATAAGTGGCTAATGGACTATGGGCTTCTGGCTGATGCTCACATCAGAAATGTGGCAATTGTTGCCACTGGGCTTACACACTCTTGATGCGTAAGTAATTATTCTTACAAATATTACTGGCAGTAGTGGATGACAGGATTAACGTTGATAGTAATGTGTCTTAAACATATCAGCTGAGTTCTTCAGTGGGCTGTTGTGTATATCTTCACTTTTCTCTTTTTGAAACAGCATCTTATCCATGCAAAATGTAAGAGGACAGAAATGACCCTGACCATTGTTCTCCACTTGAGATTGTAACATATTTTTTTCAAGGCTCCCAACTTTCAGCAGGTCACAATTAAGTGAAAGGGGGAGTCCAGGCAAGTGAAAGGAACTGAAAAAGATGGATATTAATAGTGCCATTTAAAGAACACAAGTACTCATACATAAAATATGCAACATTACTTTAGAGAATTATTATTTTTACTGAATTAAGCTTCGCTGAAGAGAAATAATGTCAGTATTACTTACCAATGGAATGTCCACACTCCACAGCTCTCCACCTAACTTACAATTAATTTGCAACAGAATCTTCTGGGCTATACTTCTCAGTTTAACATATTGAGTTGTAATGGTTCGAGCATTAATAACCTGGAGCAATTAATAATTAGTATTACTAAATACCCGGGCAAGAAAGAAATGTTTATCTTTCAACAATTCTCCGTTTGGTTATTGCATAAAATGTTTTAAACCCTTCTACTTTGAGCTTAATTTCACCAGGAGTACCCTAATGCAGGGCTGTCAAACTCCCGGCTCACGGGCCAGATACCTCACCCACTGGCCATGCCCACGCCCAGTTTAGTGAAGGAGGAAAAAGTCCCGATACATCACGTTATGCCACCGTGATGACGTGAGTTTGACACCCCTGCCCTCATGCTTTCCTGACTTCATCAGAAGGGTTCTAACTTCAAAATAGCCCCCTTTTGAATTTGAAACACTTCCACTAAAATCAGAAGGGCACAGAAATATTTTTTATGAAGTTAGAAATAGCCCTTTCAAAAGTCAAAATGGTTGAAATTCCATATTTTCCACATCTAATTCTAACCTGTGAGTTTTAATATATTTGCAAGGCAATAAGGTTATTAGTGCTTAAACACCGTTTGGTTTCTCCCTCACAAAAAATTAAGCCTCCATTCAGCAAAACATATTTATTAACCCTTAAGTTATTAAATATGTTTATTTAATATACCTTATTATTAAATATATTATTTAATATTTAATAATGTCATCTTTGGACAGCACTGGCTCTTCTGCTTTGTAACGGAGATGAGCACTGCCCCTAGAGCCGGAAACTACTAGGACGTATGTGCGAGGGGAACCTTTACCTTTAAATTATTAAAAACACAGCTTTGACCAAGTTTCCCCCATATTTTTACATTCTAAAAAAAATCTGATTTTAAAGATCCATTCATTAAATGATTGAATTCTCAATTCACAATTAAAAGCTAAATATTGTTGATATTCGTTACACAGATGAATATTTGAACATCATAAAACTCTAAATCAATAGAACACGAAACTGTTCAAAGCTCAGGTACCAACTATGTATATAGACACATGTATAAACATCAGAGGCTCTTCCTAAAAACGCAGGTGATCAAACAAGTAGTATCATCATCAGCAACGTCCATTCAAGCATTTTTACAGGCTCAAGGAACAAACAGTTATTTGGCATACCTGGGAAGGAACTGGGTTCTGTACATTGCACAGTCTTTTAATAGCCCTGTACAAATCGTCTTTAGTTCCTGTGATAATACAAACGACTAATTGTATTGATCCCTTAATAAAGAGAAAGGACAGTAAGTAACCGATTTGCAATAAGATCATTAAATACCAGTATACCATGATGAGTTAGGGTATTGGGAGGTGGAACTAATGTCATTTTATTAATTTACATCCTGCTTTTATTTTATGCAATTGAAGGCAGTGTAACTAATGCTTCCTTCTTGCAATTTCCCCACAACAAGAACTCTAATAAGAGGGTTGGGTTAAGAGCCCAAAATCTCCCAATCCAGACTCTCCGAGCCTCCTGATTTCTGACTAACACCTTAACCACCACACCAAATGGGCTCTCGGCCATTACTTTATGATTGCAAAAATATTTCAAACCTGAATGCCAAACCACAGTGGTACCTTGGTACTCAACTGCTTTGAAATTCATCGAATTTGATACTCAACACATTTTGACGTGAACATTTTGTCCTCGTACTTATCGTTTGTTTAGTACTCAACACACAAGCTAGAACTTGTCGATGTTGACTGCCTTGTGACTAGCTACATTATTTCTTCTGTTATATTTCAGATAACAGAAATATCTGTTTGGTACTCATCATTTTTGTTACTCATCGCACCTCCCGGAACCAATTAATGATGAGTACCAAGGTACCACTGTATATGTTTGTTCATATTTCAACAAAATATGAATCCATTAGAAGGCAAACTATTGAGGCTCAGTATCTCCTTCCCAGGAAAGTTTTACCAAGATCAGATTCCAGATGTTTGCTCTATCCATCCCAACTATACACCCCTCTTCCTTCTCCCTTCCTGTCTTAATATTCTGCATCTCAGTATATTTTATCTGAAAGCAAGATAAAGCTGCAAGAGGAGAGAGAAAAAAAATCAAACAAGAAACCACCATTGTAAAATCACAAACCCATAAACTCACACCTCACTACTTAGCAATGATTTGATAGCTCTGGCGTAAGTCTCTATTCGGTCATCTTTCAATTCTTTCCAAATAGGTGCAGCTAACGGGATTTCAAGGGGTCCTGAAATTTTTTGCAGCATGCTGACTAGTTCATGTGCTTGCTCCATCGTCTGCTTTGGGTAAAAGAGTGCCCAGAAATGAATTGGAATCTAAGAAATAAAAGAAAAGTCAACATACTTTTGACACTTGCAATAGACACCTGCTTCCCAGGGATTTGAGGATAGTAATATAATTTTTACTACAGAGAGTCCTTGACTCACAACTATTTGTTCCAGAATTAGTCCCTGATACATCTATACTGCAATAATGGAGTGCTTCCATTTCCTTGTATCAATAATGTAGTCTATTTTATTTTTGCGTCTTCCATCTGGTGATCTCTATGTATACAACTTTAAGAGGTCTGGGCAATAAAATAATGATTAGACTGGCAGCAAGTAATTCTCCTGTTTCATTTCTGTTTCCTAGACCATAAATCCAATTATGTCTTTCTTAATACTACTTCAGCATTCCAAGCAACGCTATCTTGATTTCACATTGGATCAATTTCAGATTAAATTTGATACAAAACTGGTCAACTTCCTCCTCTTTTATTTCAATGAAACAAAGACAAGAAAGAATCCTAGTTCATACATCTTCACAACTATAGGACCATAATTTGACGTAAAATTATACACCACCGACATTGCTGCTGCCCTACAAAGCAACCTTGACTGTATCAGAATGGTCGCGCAATTGGCAACTCCAAATTTCAACTAATAAATCCTCTGTCCTACACACTGGCAATAAAAATTAGAGTGCCAAATACAAGTTGGGTGGAAATGATCTCGTAGGCGACCCTCACTCTGTCAAGGACCTCGGAGTACTCATCTCAAACGATCCAAGCCCCAGAGCTCACGTTAACAGCATTGCAAAAAGGCATTAAGAGTTGTTCACCTTATTTTGCGAAGCTTCTTCTCCGGTACCATTGAAATGCTAATTAGGGCATACAAAACCTTTGCCAAACCAATTCTCGAATACAGCTTGTCCGCCTGTAACCCGCAGTGTATATTGGACATTAACATGACTGAACGGGTTCAGAGGTATTTCTCAAGAAGAGTACTCCACTCCTCTACTCACAATAGTATTCCCTATGCTTCCAGGCTCCAAATTTTGGGCCTGGACAATCTTGAACTGCGCTGCCTGCGGTCCGATCTAAGCATCATTCACAAAACTGTCTGCTGTAACATCTTGCCTGTCAACGACTTCAACCGCAATACACGGGCAAACAACCGAAACAAACTCAAGGTAAACTCCAAACTCAATTACAGAAAATACTATTTCATCAACAGAGTGGTCAACGCCTGGAACGCCCTACCCGACTCCGTTGTTGCAGCCTCAAACCCCTCGCAGCTTCAATCTCAAACTGTCTAGCATGGACCTCACCCCATTCCTAAAAGGTCCCTAAAGGAGGCGTGCATAAGCGCACCAGCGTGCCTACCGTCCCGGTCTTATGGTCCCCATTTATCTGTATTTACTCCCTTTGTTCATGATTATGTTCATACCTATACTCGTTATCTTGTACATGTTTGACAAACAAATAAATAAAATAAACAATTGAGCCCCAAATTTTTATTGCTAAATGAGACATTTGTTAAGTGACCTTTGCCCCATTTTAAGACCTTATGTCAACGTTCATAGTAAGCACCCATGGAAAGCAGAACTCCGAGGCAGGCAGATTTTCCTCAAAGAACAGTTTATTGGATGCATCATATTGGCACAACGGGTGAAAACCGACTCTGAAAGTTCCTGCGGTTTTCACCTAATTAAAAAGTGAAAGGTCCCCCTTCCTTCAAGTCATTAGTCACATTGACCAACAGAGGCGCTGGCCGGTTGCTTGGTTACTCCGCTCCTCCTCTCCCCAGCCATGCCTTGCCACAGTTGTTAAGTGAATCACTGTTAAGTTGGTAACCTGGTTGTTAAGTGGATCTGGCTTCCCCATTGACTTTGCTTGTCAGGAGGTCTCAAAAGGGGGACCACGTGATTTCTGGACACTGCAACCGTCAATCAAGGTGAGTTGGTTGTCAAGCATCGGAATATTAATCACGTGACCATTGGGATGCTGCAATGGTCACTAAGGGCGAAAAACAGTCTCAAGTCACGTTTTTCAATGCAGTGACAATTTTGAACAGTCACTAAATGAGCTGGTTGTAAGTCGAGGATGACCTGTATCTATTGAAGGGAATGCTGAGTCAATTGTTACACCCCACAGAAGAGTGCCCCACACCCAAAAGTAAGCTTACTGCAGAGATGCAGGCTTCTCTGCTGATTTCTTTAGTCCAGTTTAGGCTTTCCGAGGTAGTGAAGGAGGTTTTCTTCAGGTTTATTCTTTCCATGGGAAGGATGCGCCCGGTGGTCTGAAACAGGCAAACCACAAGAAAATAAGGCTGCATGCAGGGCTAAACCAGGGACAGCCTTTGGCCCATTTTAAGTCCAGAGCTCAGCACCAAATATGCCTTAAAGTAACGGACTCCAACCTTTCCAACTTGGCGGCCAGGGCTGTGTATGTGTGCATGTTTGTGTCAGAGGTGGTATTCAGCTGGTTCTGACCAGTTCTGGAGAACCGGTAGCGAAAATTTTGAGTAGTTCAGAGAACCAGCAAATACCGCCTCTGACTGGCCCTGCCCCCATCTATTCTCCACCTCCCATTGAGTCTAAGCTGATTGGCTGGGTCTTCTTTGGTTGCCCTGCACAGGAGAATGGAGCTGGAAAGCAGGTTAGTGGGGTGGGGAGGGAATGGGGATTTTGAAGTAACCTTCCCCTGCCACATCCACCAAGCCACACCCACCAAGCCATGCCCACAGAACCAGTAGCAAAAAAATTTGAATCCCACCATTGGACTGTGTGTGTGTGTGTGTGTGTGTGTGTGTGTGTGTGTGTAGCAGTTGTGCGCACAGCTCCATTTGTGCAAGCATCAGGCACACATGCCCTCCATGTGTGCAAATGGAGCTTTGTGACCTAACAGAGGGCGCTTGCACATGTGTGGGAAGCTCCCCTCACACGAGTGGCTATTTCACAGATTTAAAACCGCAAAAGCGGTGCTACGATTTTCAATATCTACAAGGCAGAACTTCAAGACCAAGAATTTGTTGATATGCCCCCCTCCATCTCATAAGAAGCGATTCTGGGCATTGTACAGCAAAACCAGCAGAAAACAATAAACGCATTAAACACTGTCGTATTTTTAAAAATGAAATAATAAGGGCAATGAAGCCACTTCAAGATCTCACCGGTCCCGGAAACACCCAGGCTTAGTGACAAAAGCCAGATCTTCATGGACTTTCAGAAAATAAGGAGGGATGGAGATTACCTCATCTTGGCAGGGGAGGGATGTGGGTGTCACAGTAGAAAAAACTCACCTCCTTGGGCCCATCAAGTGCAGTTCCCTAGAGGGGGAACCGGTAGGATGTATCTCTTGCCAGAGCTGATGGGATGAGCTGGTGTAATGGGGGAAATGTGGTTGCTCAAATAAATCAACCCATGTCCTGAAAGGCATTAAAGGTCCTAGGCAGAAGGAACTTTGCTGCTGAACCTTGACAGTTTTTTGTTTAAAAGGAACAATTCTCTCTCCAGTGAGACTCCCTCAAAATTTAAAACTGAAATTCAATGTGTACTGTAGTACAGAACATCTCCGTGAATCCTGCAGTTTTCCGAGCAGACAGAAACGGAGAAGTTGGTGGACCAAGATTACAGGTAGAAAAAGGAAACAAAAATAAGTTTTAAATCTGAGTAGTCATGGAAGGAGAAAAACCCTCTCACTTTTTGTGAGGTGTAACTTTTAGAAGATATTTAATTTTTCAGTTCTGTTCCCCTGAGCTTCTAATCACCAGGCATAAAATTATTGCCCAAGCAGATTCAGTGCTATTCACCAGCTCAAGGCAGGAACGAAGTGACAAATGCAGAGATCAATCTTACACAACTTTCTGATCAGGGCCAAAAATGTACTGCCTTTGGGTAAATACTCTCGGGACTTTGAGGAAGTGAAGGATCTATTTATTTTCCGTAATTAACGGTTGTCCTGGGTGCTGAAAAATAACCACAAAATAAAGGGAAACGGATATATACATCAGCTATTTACTTTCTACACCATAGTTAGCAGAAGACGACAAAAAGCAGGGGATAGTAGGGTGACCAATCTCTTCTTGGTCAAAACCTTTTTTTCATAAAATAGGCCGGATCCCACCTGGCAAAGTTTAAAGCGCTGGCAAAGCTAACACAGAGTTTCCTTACCCTGTAAACATCCCCATCCAAGAAAAGCCCCCACCGGGACAATTCCTTATGGGCATTCTCATTCTTCTTAATTCTGCTGAGAAGTTGGAGCAGAGCGGCATGATGCTGTCCGGGACTCATGTTGACTTTCTGCGTAAGGTCCTGAACAGAGTGGACACAGACAAGGGGGACGCGGGGGAAGGCATTTCAGCTTGTATTAAAAAAAAAGGAAGCATATATAACTCATTGACAGCAAAGCAGCAGTTTGAAGCAGCAGCTTCTCCAGTGACTTGCTTTTAAAATTCACAATGAACAGAAATCAGGAGGGGAAATTGCACATTAAAAAAACACAGGCATTTTTTTTCCCTTGCATTATTATTGGACACCATCTTGAGGTTTTTTTTTTTAAATTACATCCTATAGACACCTCTGAACAGAATCCTCTCTATAGGTGGTCCTTGGCTCAGTTTAGTTTAGCTTAGTTTATTGTTATTGCACCGCGTACAACGAAATCAAGCACCCTCTTCAGTGCACATCATGACCATGAAAATAAACACAAACACCCATCCTTCACCCTCCACACATTGCATTGAAAACCCCCGACACCACATCAACACTGCACTATACAGGAGAATTCAAAAGAGCTACTGCCCTGGGATAGAAGCTGTTTTTCAGCCTCTTTGTCCTTGTTTTTATTGTCCTGTACCATCTGCCAGATGGTAATAGTTCAAAAATAAGGGATGCCCAGGATGAGATGGATCTTTGAGGATGTTTTGAACTTTCTTGAGGCAGCGGGAGCTATAAAGCTCTTCCAAAGAGGGGAGAGGGCAACCCATGATCTTCTGGGCAATGACGTTAACCCTCTGGAGTGCTTTCCTATCGGCCACTGTGCAACTCACAACTACAATTGAGCCCAATGTTTTGCTGCTAAATGAGACAGTTGCTAAGTGGGTTTTGTCCCCTGTTATGACCTTTCTTGCCACTGTTGTTAAGTGAATCAGTGCAGTTGTGAAGTTAGTAATACGGTTTGTTAAGTGAATCTGGGATTCCCCCCATTGGCTTTGCCCGTCAGGAGGTCACCAAAAGGGATCACATGACAAAAGAGGACATTGCAACCATTATAAATCGGTTGTCAAGCGGCTGAATTTTGATCATGTGATCATGGACATGCTGCAACGGTTGTGTGAAAAAACGGTCATAAATCACAATTCATTCTCAATTCTAAAGCTGAAATATTTCCGGTTTTAGTTCTGCCAAACCACAGCACAATCATTTTGAGTTGGAAATGGAAACCACATTCCATTTTGTGCACAAACTCTACAATCCAAGCAGGAGCCACTTCAGCACCCAAGCCACTTAAGCCACTGCAAGAAATGGCAGGGATAAATGTTAAGATTCCTCCTCCCAAAATTTCAAATGGAAGAGAATGAGATTTACTGCTTTTTAAACTTAGCTATTAGATGTACTATACACCCCACCGTTTTATCCTATACAATTGAAAGTAGCTACGTTATTCTTCCAGCTCCTATATTCCCCACAATATACAGGTGAGGTGGGCTGGGTTGGATTGAGAAAGAGGGATTGGCCTATAGTCAACCACCTGAACTAAGGAAGGACTAGGACTCATGGCCTCCCAGAAACTATCTTCTAGCACAGGGATCCCCAAACTTGGCAACTGTAAGACTTGTGGACTTCAACTCCCAGAATTCCTCAGCCAGCCACCGCTAGTATCCTTATCTACATTCATAGATCAGACTGGTCGTGTCCCAAAAGATTGGGGGCTGGAAATAATAATCCCAATTTATTAAAAAGTCAATAAGAACAAGGGACTTTTTTGAGTGTTATCAGCAAATTGCTAGGCACGCGAAATTTCAAACTCCAGGACTGGATAAAGACAGACGGCATAAGCCAAGACAAGTGGCCAAGGTCATTGGTTTAGATCTGGATTTAGAGAAAGGAGGCCATCAACAGTTTTGGAGTTTGGGGCTCCACCATGTTGTACAAAAATACGCTCCATCAAAATAATCCTCCTCCTTCATGGCCTTTGTAGATTTTAAACATAACTTTGACTCAATTTCCAGGAATGCAAAAAATGAAGTCCACCAGTCTTAAAGTTGCCACATTTGGAAACCTCTGTTCTAGCACTTGAACCACCAAATAAAGTTCAATAATGTCTTTACAAGAAAAATACCATTCGTGTCTTGTGATCTGAGTAGAAGGAATAAATCGTTAGGGATTAGTGACTACAACTTTTGGCTGTTTAGACAAGCTCAAAATGTCAGCCAACACCACGTCACCACGTGAGATCTCTGGGAGGCCAAGGGAACCCCTCTTCAAACAGAGCACGACTAGAAAGCTTCAGATGCTATTGAACCAACAAAACCAGAGCTCGGAATGGATAGCTACAACTTAAAAAGTTGTTGAAAAGCCAAATATTTGATGTAGTAAGAGGTTGAGGATTTTATAACCAAATTCCAATTCTGTATAAAATATATAGTTCGAGCACCTTCATAATTCTAAAATCTTGTCTCATCTTCTCGGGAATGCCTGTCAAGAAGGAAAGCTCTGGCACTAGCAGGATTTCACCTTCCTGAAGCTGCAGGAGAATCAGATACAAAACCTATTAGCACACATCGCGTACAGAAATAAATCATTTAACATCAGCTACGCTGATGTACGCCATATACACATTAGATGGGAAGGAAGGAAAGGGAAAACTGACGGTGACAAGAAAACCAAACAGGTGGCATGAGATTGATTTTTTTTTTAAATTGTCACAATTTTCTCTTCAAACCCTGTAAATAAACATTAAGTGATAGTTGGAGTAGTCCAGGGCTAGCATAGCTAACACGAGAGTTAATGGCTTATGACTAACACTCAGAGATGTCTTTTCTTAGCACTAATAAGATAGCACATAGAATAATAAAGTTGGAAGGGAGCTTAGAGGTCATCTAGTTCAACCCCCAGCTTCAGCAGGAGATCCTATACCATATCATGCAAATGGCTGTCCAGTCTCTTCTTGAAAGCCCCCAGTGTTACAACCATTTTCTCTTCCTGTTTGTTGCTGGAGTTAATCTGGAAGGCTGAGGTACTTGACCAGCAATGGCCAATTTCCAATGCTATGCCAGCTGAAAGCTTGTATTCATACAAGGCTTAAACTATAAGAGTGAAGGGCATCACAGCCTAAAGCTTCCCTCTAAACTGGCTAGTCTATTTAAAAAAACACACACACACAACCTTATGCTTGGAAACATCTGGGGGGGTGGGGGGGGCTGATGGTGGGAGAAATCAAAGCCAGACCCACCATGACACCTGTTCCATCGTAATTCCCACACTCCTCTGTAATAGCTCGAAAGTGTTTCTAGCCCAGAAACGTCACCCAAGACAAGTCACACAAATCCAGCCATTCTAGTGATGCCTGCATTACAAACGCCAGCAATTGGTTGCTTCTAAATGCAACTGCTCAAATTCTCACCTTTCCTGGAGGATTTTTTCTTTTTTCAACTCTGTAAATCAACAGTGGCTGGTCAAGCTCTCTAATGGTAATCCCATAATTTTTACTGGAAAAAGAATGTTATATGAATTCTAGGAAGGAAACAAAACTCACTTGATAATTTTAAATATCAATAGCTAAAAGACTAACTTAAAAAAATTCCAATTAAGCCAAAGTACTTAATGACTTTGATAACAGCCCTCACTTCAACAAAACTTAAGCAAGATACTGAATGTCTTATTCCCATTAATTATTTTCTTTTTTTCCCATTTTATCTCGACATTGTAGAAACACTGAATCATAAACTTTTACCTGTAATACTCTAGAAAAGTGATTTCCTTCCCATCCGACATGGTGAAACTGTTCTGTGGTGTCTTGTTCCAATCAATGTCATCAATTCGGTAATTTTTATTGTTGTAACGGGTAAGTATAATGTTGCCAATAAGTTGCTTTGTACACTCATCTTGGAAATTATCCCGATTCTGTTGATAAATTCTGTGCCTTTATGAAAACAGAAATGCTTAAAGTTAAAAACCAGGAAGGCACAAATTGTAGTCTCACCTTGAGTTTACCAGCTGACTTTAAGAAGTCTGTTTTCACCCCACTGGCAGAACCCCATCTGCCAAATAGACTCGTCTTACTCTAGCTTTGCAATGCTTTGTAGTTCTTGGTGCTCTCTCTGACCTTGGTGGTTTGCTTCTAGATGTTTCATTAGCCAACTAGGTAAGATCTCCAGTGCAAGTGAGCGCAGGGTTTGCTGCCTGTTTATATTCAGGAGTTTTCCCTGTCAGTTTTGGTGGGAGAATAATTTCCTACTTGGTGGTTCCTTGATTAGAATATTGTTTTCTGTCTGATTTGGATCCCTGCTTATCTGAATGTTGGTTGCTAAAAGGGGTGGGTTGTAGCCTTTTTTGTTTTTTGGTTTTTTTATTCTCTTTTTAATAATTTAATGGTGTGGAATGGTCTTACACAACCAAATAATGAGCTGAATGAAAGCTACTTGGCATATGTGGTAGCTCAATAAACTTATTCTGAGAACTCTGCATTCTACAGCACACAGGATCAACATCCTCTTATGATTCTCTGTCATGGCACCAGCTCTATGAAACACCATCACTGTGAAGTTCCAAAGACCTCCAAGCCCGACTTTTTCTTCAGTCTTGGGATAAGATAGAGGTTGAGATCTTGTCAATTTAGCGTGTGTGTGTGTGTGTGTGTGTGTGTGTGTGTGTGTGTGTGTGTATTCCTGGATATATACTTTCTTTTTTACTTTTTACACTGTAAGTCACCCGGAGTATTTAGAATCAGATGGCCACTAAACGTTAGAAGATAATTAAAATACACTATAACAGGAAAAATGTGCTGAACAGCTTGAAATAGATGTATAGTAGTCTCCCCTTATTTCTTCATCGGTAAAACATAAACACAACAGGAAAAAAATGATATGCCGTTATAAATAGCAAATTAAACATCATAAAAAATACAAAGCAATATTTTTGCTAGAAATGCGTAAGCCGGGGAGATCTAAAATGGGATTCTCTACATGGGAACTTTGTCTATAGCGGGGTGGACAACTCTGGCACTTTATGACTTGTGGACTTCAACTCCTAGAATACCTGCATCTCTATGGTGATTCTCAGTCCTCCAGGTCATAGTTGTCCCAAAGGTACTTTTCCAAAAGGCAACTGGACTTTGTTTTTCCTTGAAGACATTTCACTTCTCATCCAAGAAGCTTCTTCAGTTTTGACTGAATGGTGGAGGATGGAAGAATATATTCTTTGCAGTCATTAGCACTCTCTCTGAGAATTGTTGAGGTGCTTGGAGGTTTATCCGTGCCCTGAGGGTTACCTGAACAATGCAAATGGGTGTGGAATTCCTGAACCTAATCAGTAGACTCTCATCATGGAAAATTCCCTTTTTAGATCTCCTCAGTTTGCATATAGACTTTTTTTGCATTAAAAAATGGGTCAGATCTAGTATACAGATCACGACCAGCCCATCTCTCTCATTGGAAGTGAGCACATTTCATCTCACATTACCAGGTGCAAAGCTCACACACCACATCTTGCTATTAGTTCCATTCTAACGAATTTCCAGAGAAATCATCTTCTTTCTAAAAGCTATTTTACACCACTTCCAAAACCAATTCCTACACAAATTCCGAGACTCAGACCCAAACAAAGTAAACTGCAGGAGCTATCTTGGTTAGGCACTGGTTTTGTTATACCACAACCAAATAACGGCCACAATATTCTTAATGGTCTTTGAAATGTTTTCTGTCAGTATTTCAGATATCGGCATTTTTACTCACATCACATTCAGGACTGAATCATTCCGAATAACCTTATGAACAGCATCAACCAACAAAAACAGGCCACCATCTGTCCTTCGGATACTGGTTGCATAGCCAGGCCATATTTGCAACCTTTTCACAAAAATAAACAAAGAGGCTGATTTTTAGTACCAAAGGGAAACTGCTTAATTAAAAGATACAGTCAAATTGATTTTGTAGTCATAGTTAGCAATTGCTACTGTCTGCTTTCACCATTTACAATTCCCACAAGTTATCATGTGCAACTGATGGAATATTAAAATATACTATCATAGGACAAACACGCAGATGAGATAATCAAATTTATTATGTGATGAAATTGCAGTCTAATTTATTGCTATATATTATTTATTATTAATATCCCTAGACCACCCAGAGCTCACTAGGATTGAGGCACAAATAAATGAATAAAGTAATCCACCAAAAATATGTCACTGTATTCCAGAGATTCGAGGCAGCTGGTTTTTGGTATATATTGCAATTAGCTAAAGTAACTCAATTTGCACCTACTGAGTTTTTGCCAGAGAATGTGCAAAAATAGAACATATATTTTAAAAGAATATTAATTCTATTGCACAGCATATATTTCAAATAATCAAATACTAAAACACTGTAGTGCACAAAGCAACATACCAACCTGTACTGCTGAAGTACAGTAGCATTAGTAGGATCATAGAAATTTCTCCCGACAAGTTTCATATCTAAAATCCTCATCACTCTAGAATAACATTTAAAAGAAACATGATTAATATGACACTGGGAAATGAGATTGCTATGTAAAGCATGAACTCAGGGCACAAAAAAATTCCTATTATTTTGCTCGTCCCGTTACCAAAGGAGGCCAGAAGAACCTAGGTCATCTCCCACAAGATTTCAAACATCTCCAGATCAGACCTAGAGTTGCGTATCTTTCTCCACTTCTTAAACGATGGACTTCCTGCCACTTGTTTTTGGTCCTCCATGTGAAGGATACCCACACTGAATTTCTAGCAAATAACCATCTCTGGTGTCTATTTGCTTTTCTTTCTTCATTTCAGGATTTTGAGATGAATTCCTAAGCACAACCCACAATCCAAGTGCATTCCAGCACTCAACAGTGCAGCAGATGCGAAACTGCCTTGTTCTACTTTTCATCTCAAGAGTGAATCTAAATGCAGGCTCCATTCTTTTAAATAATAACTCCTATTTTTTCCCCCTCTAGCCTGATGAACAAGAGCCAAGAATTAAAAGGGTTCCCTATCCTGGACTCTGGTTAAACTAGAGATTGATCCAAAGGCCAATGGTTTTTTTCTTCCTCCCTTAAAACTACATTACTGTATATAATCCTATAGTGTACTTGCTATGTTGCCAGAGACGTTACCTCAAACTGAATCCGATCCTAAATGCAAGGTGATCAGATCAGGTTGCAGGAAAGTAGTCCTCGACTTACAGACAGTTCATTTAGTGAAGAATTTGAAGTTAAAACAGCACTGAAAAGAGTGAGTTATGACCATAAACTGTTGCAGCATCCCCAGGGTCAAGTGATCAAAATTCAGGCCCTTGGCAACTGACTCATATTTAAGACGGCTGCAGTTTCCCAGGGTCAGGTAAATCACCTTTTGACAAAGTCAATGGGGAAGCCCAATTCATTGAACAACCATGTCCGTAACTTAACAACTGCAGTGATTCATGGTGGCAAGAAAGGCTGTAAAATAGGGTAAAATTCACTTAACAAATGTCTCACTTAGCAACAGAAATGTTGGTCTTAATTGTGGTTGTATGTCAAGGACTACCTGTATTGCTGATAAGAGAACATTGATGTACCTTCTTTCATGAACGAAGTATGTAGATTAATTGAGATTAAGATAATTTCAAGCACCAAGGAAAAGAACCAATCAAAATAATTTATAATCACTTCTTTTATCTGTACTGAAATGCTATGCATGCCAATTGGTCACTACAACATGTATCTATTTAAAAATAAACAGAGCTTTGCAACCCTTTATATTTCATGTAATAATCACATACTTGTTTAAAAATCTAAATCCCATCCTTTTTCTGTACAGTACGTTTATTTGTATAAAACTCCAGTTGTAAAATTAGTCCACTACCTTAATTTGGACACATATTATGTAAGGTGCACCCTTCCCATCTGAGTAGACAGATTCATGACTTAAAAATTGTAATACTATATATTAAAATGATCTGGCTTTAAAATAAAGTATTATATTTGAACTATTAATTGTGCAAAGCTTTTTTAGGTTTGGTCTATCAAGCCTTTGTTCTGACATGTGAGATAAAAATGCTCGTATTCATTCAATCACACAGATCAGAAATGTTAAGAGATACGAGCATGTTATCCATAGTGGTTAATATTCAGTCAATTTTGATAAAATTCTGTTAAAAGAAAACAGATCTAAACATTTTAACATTGACGTTTTGTATATAATGTTCATTTAAGAATGGCTGTACTTATGGGATGCTTTAAGTCCAGATGTGAGTCAGCATATATTACGCACTTTCTGAAAATAACATTGTAAAATGGGATGCACAACTCTGAACTAGGTTCCAGAATTTTGGTCATCTGAATCTTTAAATTGACTTCTGTTCCATCTGTCTTTCTTTCACACTTCAGGTTAATATTCTAAAGTAGAAAAAACATAGTTTATCAGAACTCAAAAACAAGTCAGTAAGACAGCCTAAGAATTCCAAAAAAAATTATGTTTACAAAATAAATTACAAAACAATCAGTTCCAATTCTTGCCAATAAGTAAATATTGCAGTAAAAATATCCTACGTATAACTTAGCCAAGCTAACAAGAGTAACATTTCAGAGTGCTTTGTTTCAGAATTAGTCTATCAACACAGAATAAAGACAAAATAAAACGTAAATGAAAAGTGAAACAAACCATTGTTTATAACTATGTCTTATTTTGTTGCTGCTGAAATCGCATATTGTACTAATATACATTACTTATTCTTTTGCTATATTGCCAATTCTTATCTTTTCTGTTAAGAAAACCCCTTGAAACATGAAGGCTTGACAACTTTTCCCCCCCATTGTTGTGTAGAGATGCTTTGAAGAAAACCCTTGAAAGCAAGCTCATGCTTAATATAATATTAACAGATTAATAGAGTTGGAAGAGACCTTGGAGGTCTTCTAGTCCAGCCCCCTGCTCAAGGAGACCTAAATCCATTTCAGACAAAATGGCTGTCCAATCTCTTCTTAAAAACCAACGGTGTTGGAGCATCCACAACTTCTGGAGGCGAGTTGTTCCACTAATAAAATTGTTCCCACTGTCAGGAAGTTTCTGCTTAGTTTTAGGTTGGTTCTCTCCTTGATTTGTTTCCATCCGTTGCTTCTTGTTTTGCATTCGGTTGCTTTGGAGAATAGCTTGATCCCCGCTTCCTTTGTGGCAGCCCCTGAGATATTGAACCACTGCTATCATGTCACCCCTAGTCCTTCTTTTCATGTTCTCTTTTAAGAAAATCAATCAAATCAATCCATTTTAAATCTTCAATATTTTCAAGGTTACATTGATGAAAAGGTTAAATTGGGATCAGGGTAACGTTTGTTCCAAGTCCCGCTTAAAATACAACAAACTGGATGACTCTGAACTAGCCTCTCTCAGTTCAGCCTATCTTCACGGGAGTTCCAAAGGTGCTTTTTCAAGATGCAACTGGAGCTTTCTGGGGTTTTTTGAAGACGTTTCACTTCTCTGAAGAAGCTTCCTGGATACGAAGCAAAATGACTTCAAACAAAAAAACAGAAAGTCCAGTTCCTTCTTGAAAAAGCACCTTTGGAACATCCATGACCTGGATGAGAATCTCCACAGAGATTCCTATTTCCTATATGATTCTCATGGGATAATTTGTGAAGGATGACGTAGGAGGGGATATCATCCGAGGCACCACAGGACAGATACATCATAACATAACTGTGACCAACAAAATATCTGGAGCACAAAGCTCTCCACTAATATAATGGCCATAGCCACAGCTAAACTGTGGGATCCTTTGAGGAATTCAGCTATACTATCATTTATTGCTATTGGAGAAATCACAAAATAATCTGGAAAAGGGAGAAGGGAACTGACTCCTTTGTTTAATTTTACAAGGAGCATTTCAATATTATCAGGTATACTTCAGGTGCAGTATAATTCAGAAGAATAAATTAATATGACACGATTCAATTCCAAACTCACAGAAGACTAGGAAAACATTTGGATGTTAAAAACACAATCAGTTTCAATTCATATTTTTAAAAAGTATTTATGATCATTTTTCCTCAAATGCCACCACTCTGCTAAACAAATAATTCCCTCAACACTGTCCAGCTATTTACAAAGGCTGCACTACTATTACTATTAATCTTCTCATCACTCCTTATCACCCATCCCCTCCCACTTGTGACTGTATGACTGTAACTTTATCACTTGTATCCTTAAGTTTTATATCTGTTTCCTAGCATGATTTGATTGCTTATTGTACCCTATGACTATTAAGTGTTCTACCTTATGATTCTTGATGAATACATTTTTTTTCTTTTTATGTACCCTGAAGAGCATTTGCACCAAGACAAATTCCTTGTGTCCAATCACACTTGGCCAATAAATAATTCTATTCTATTCTGCTCTACTCTGTTCTGTTCTATCATGAAGTAAAACTCAGTATCAGCTTGGTTATTCCTACATGACAGAAAAATTTCAGGTGGTGCTCCATCCAAATAGCCCGGGGGTTGCTCAACTGGCAAAATAAGGATTTGGAATTAAACGCCCATGTCAGATAAAATTATTATAGCAAACTCTTCCGTTTCTTTCCTCAATCTTACTTGAGGCAACTTGATGGGTAAATAGAGAAGAAAGCCATCAAATGCGGAAATGTCTCCTATCACCGACTGATGTTCCTTTAGCATCTTAAGGCGCATGCTTTTATATTCTATGTTTGGGCTGGAAGACAAGAGGAAAATCAGGAAAAAAAGGGGTGGTACATTTTTATTAGGGGGAAAAAAAAAGAATGTGCATTTCTGTTCATTTTGCTTGAGAGAGAAATACCCACAAAGGAAAACTGTCACAATTCCTTCCTTAACATTGTCATTAGAAAGGCAACTTTTACATTCTGGTTGGCTGTACTATTTCACTGAAAGACAGCACCAAGGAAGAGCTTTAATCATTTTCTTTTTCAATCTTGGCTTCAAAGAAGATGCATAGCCTTTAGGCTGCATTTCTACAAGAAAATGTTCAGACTCCCTACAGCTTTACATTATCAAGTGAAATGTATCAATGGACAGACAATTTGGAGGTCCCTCCAAAAAACGTTAACATGGTAGCATCCACGGTAGTCAAACGAGTTACCGTATTTTTCAGACTACAAGATGCACCGCACCACACCAGAGGCACACCTAGGTTTAGACAGGGAAAACAAGAAAAAAAATAGTTTTTGGTCTCCGCACGTCCCATTTTTGCCCGCACCTCTCTGGCGTCCAGAACCACCCAACCGCCCCCCCCATGAGTCCCATTTTTGCTCTCCCTGGCATCCAGCACTCTGCAAGCCAAAAATGTGCCCGTTTTTGGCCTCCCAAACTTTCCGCGTCCTGTTTTCAGCCCCCCAACCCTGCGGAGGCCTCCACGGGGTGTGTGTGTGTGTTGCATTTTATAGTCTGAAAAATATGGTAGCTAAAACTGCTGCCCTTGAATGCAATAAATATTTGGGTTGAAACTAACCCTCTGGACAGGTGCTTTCTTAGCTCATAAAGCCGGCAACTGGTACTTTCAAAAGCACCTCGGAGTTTAGAAAGTATGAAAGGTTTTCCACATAGCTTCAAAGGCTAGAAACCATGATTTATATTCCTTCAAATTTTAGCATATAAAATGTGGGAAGAAACATCAGTTGGATTGCAACTTGAGAGAACAATTTGAATAAAAGATGTTGCATCTTCTGCCCACGTTCAGTTACTGACAGACCCTAAAGCAACTGCCTTCACCTGTGGAAGGAAGAGTCAGATTCAAGAACCGTTACCTGAATGTCACGTGGTACTGATACACAGCTTCATTTTTACAGTGTATTTGAATCAGATTCAGCGCCAAAGGGATCGTTACTCCTTTTGACCCTTGCTTCTTAAGTGGTTCTCTGGAAGGATGAAAGTGTAATTGTAATAATTTCTCTGCTTTGTTTAAGAGAAAGACAGTAAGGAAGCTGAACCTCGTGAACATCGGGCTGTATCTGGTTCAATAAAGCTTACTCTCCAATGTTCGAAGAATTACAAGAGCAATAACTGGGAACCATTTTTGGGTGGAAGTTTTTGCTAAAATTTGTTATTAACAATTTATATCTTTACATAAACCAATACAATTCAGTGTACACAATAAAAACATGATGCATCTGTCAAGAACATCTATTCTTAGATATATTTTATCACCTCCATCCCTTTGTCCAAAAACAGAAGTATTGTTCTAGAAGCAATTTGTATCTGCTTAGCTTCTTGGACATACTTCTACCCATAGCCCTACTCCAAGCCCAATTTCTTACTTTTTTTCTGAGCAAGCTGGAAAAAAAAATCATAGCTTATCTCCTCTAAAGACCTGCACAAATCAGAAGCTCATCAGAGGTTGCTACATTCAGAAAACTCAAAGAAAAAAAAAACATTTCCTTTGCTTAAGCTATTGATTTTCTGTTTGTATCTCCTCCAAACTTGAGCGCATGTATAGCCAAAGGCTTTTAGGTTATGGCTATCTGAGATAAAGTGTTTTTCCAGTGAGACCGGTCTATCAGGGCAACCTGGTGTATCCATTTATGGGATGGAGCATACTGCTTCCGCTTTCGTCTTTCAGCCCCAATCCAGGAGCCTTCGCAGGCAGTCACTTTCGTGACAAACTATTTTTGTGTTGAATTTATGTTTATGAACAAAGAAATAAAGAAAGACTATTACAGAATTATTTCAAGCTATTTAGCTCTCATCAGCTAGCCATACCCTTCTGGGATTCAAACTTGGGCTACTTGCATATTAGATAGACATATTAACCTCTAAACCAAAAGGCTCTCCTCGCTTTGCTGACTATATGAGGGAAGAGATTATGATATAGGCGACAAAGAGAGGAGAGCCCATGGCTTAGAGGTTAAGCCTCTAAGGTTAAGCCTTCATGTGCTCCCGAGTCGACCTTTGTTGCTTACCTCTTCCCTTCTCCTGTCAGCTCTGCGCATGCACACATAGGGAACAGGCTCCAGCTGTTCTTCTGCCCCACTGACTCTGAATGCAGCTGATAACTGTCAGACGGCCCTGGCCCCATCTCTGCCTCTGATGCAAAGCCCTCATCAGAGCCTTCCCCAGACTCCAGGACTGGCCCATGTTTCTCCCCAGTCTCCTCACTGTCCCAGTCTGTCGCCATTTCCGCTCAGCATTTGCTACACTTACAGGAGTTTGGCTTTGTTACCTTCTTCATACCATTTCTTACTTACTTTTTATCCACAGGGTCATCAGAAGCTACAGGAGGAGCACTAGGCTTGATTGATGGTGCTGGAAGAAGACCTTCCACAGCCGAAGTGAAGGGGCTTGGGTAGGGTCGGCCACGCCCCAAGATACTGGTTTTGTCAAGCACCAAAAATGGCTTTTCGCTTTCCACATGCCTGGGGAATATTTAAAAGGGGAACAAAAAAGATGTCTAAAACCCACGAAGCTAAAATTTCTGCATTGTTTTTATGGGGGGACGAAGGCCCTTTTGTGACTCGTGGATTTTAATTCCCTGAATTCCTGAACCAGCTTTAAAGCAACATTTTGATTTTTATCCCAGTTTTACTGACGTATTTCAAGGTGGCATGCACCTTTTCCTCCTCCCCACAGTCACCACCTTATGGTATGTGGATTGGACTGAGAGGGACTGGCCGGAGGTCAATTAGCTGCCTTTTGTGTCTAAGGGAGGACTTCCAGTTACCAGCCCAATTCCTTAAAACACTTAAACACTCTCCTAAAGGAGCGGGGAAACACCCAAGGCAAATATGGAGGGGGAGAGAGAGACTGCCAGGGTGAGAGCCAAAGTCAATTCATATCAGAATTGATTCATCCCATTTATTTTCTTAGCCTAGAAGAGACAAATATTTCAGAGAGAGTTACATATTCCTATGCATACAAACTTCCTAACAGTGAGGACAATTGAACAGCTTGCCTTCAGAAGGTGTAGGGGCTTTTTTTTTTTTCAGAACAGAAAGTTGAAGGTATGCAGTGAGACCCACATTATGAGCATTAGCTGGGACTGGGCATCCTGTAATTATCTATGCATAACTGCCAAAATGCCTTTCTGCTTAAAAATAAAGGCAGCCTTTTTTTTTATCATTGAACCTTAAAAACAGACGAACAAAAAACTAAGCTGAAATCATGCTCGGTCGTCCAAAAACTATACCAACCGAAGTAACCGAATAACAGGATGTGTAATGCAACTTGCCATTTTTACCAGCCACCTTGACCCCACAATAGCTTAACTCACTTGCCGCGGCCGGGAAGCCCCCGTTGCACCTTGCTGTCTCCAGCTGGTCCTGCTCTCAACCCTGCACACACCTGCTGTCCCAGGCTATCTGCGTTGGGCTTTATGGTCATGTCACCCATTCCCCTTCCTGCAATGCCTCGGCCTGAAAAGACTGATCGAGAAACAAAGTCAAGGTAGAACGCCAGTTCTTCTTACCTTTCCAAAGAGAATCAGCTGAGGCAGAAGAAAAGAAGATCCTAAATAGCAAGAGAGCTTACCCAAAGGAGGCCTAGGGGCAGTCTCAAGGCTAAGTCCCTGAACCGTGGACGACAATGTTGGAACAGTCGTAAAAGGCTCCTGAATTAAAAAGAGAGCAGACAGATTTTTACTATGCACCAGTACAACGCCTTAGCTTTTAAGTTGAGAATTAAGAGAAACAAAACATCTGCAGCTCTCTAAAGCAGCAAGAGTTCTTCCGTGCCTAAAAGCTTTCAAATAATCTCTACGAGAAATACAGGTAGTCCTCAACTTACAACAGCTCGTTTGGTGACCATTTGAAATTATAACAGCACTGGAAAAAGAGACTCATACAGCTGTGTTACTAACTTAACAACTGCAATGATTTAAGAACTGTAGCAAGGAAGGTTGTAAAATGGGACAAATGACTCGCTTAGCAACAGAAATTTTGAGCTCAATTGAGGTTGTAAATCAAGGATTTCCTGTAGGTTGTTTCATCAATTTTCTTTTGTTAATGACTAAAATAAAAATCAAATTTAGAGAGCCTCGGTGGCGCGGTGGTTAGAGTGCAGAACTGCAAGCTATTTCTGCTACAGACAACTGACTGCAATTTGGCAGTTCGATTCTCACCAGGCTCAAGGTTGACTCAGCCTTCCATCCTTCTGAGATGGGTAAAATGGGGGCCCAAATTGTTGGGGGCAAGAGGCTGACTCTGTAAACCGCTTAGAGAGACGGCTGTAAAGCACTATAAGGTGGTATATAAGTCTAAGTGCTATTGCTATTATTACAATCCTAAGGCTAGATGCAAACAAAATACTGAACAATCATATACTGTAGAAGTACCACATCCTCATATATATTCTGCATATATGTGTGTATTAGAGAGAAACAATAAGTATAGTGGAGTCTAAAAATAATTAAAAATGTAAGTACTGAAACAAACTGAAATACAATTATCACAAGAAATTCCAATCTTAAGCACGGGTAGCACAGAACTAGGTAGCTTGAGCGGTTATTTTTCAACTCCTTGTCTGACAACAGTTGCATTAAATAGGAACTGCACTCCCTACCTGGAAATTTCATTCAAGACAGGATACATGATCTAGAGGTCTTCTATAAGGAACAGTATAACAGGATGTGACCTACAGTTATTGTCAGGGCAATTTCAAATGTAAAAATTAAGCTATACGATGTACAAAATTTCAGATCATAATCAACCACACTGGCCCCACTGGGGCATCACAATGTAAACTCCGCTTTTCAGCTCATCCCTGGCAGTGCCATTAAATATGACTAGATCTAAACCGTCCACCAGTTGAACCAGGTAAAATCCTGCAATAGTACAATGATGGTATTTAGATTACCTGATAAATAACTCACATCATTTCTGGGGACATTGGCCATTTGAAGTAAGACTTTAGAGAGGCATCAGGTTGGGGAATATGCGCATATAAAATCACCAGCTATGATTATAGAGGCTAGATATTGATATATTAGTAAATTTATCTATGTATCAGATTAGTCCCACAGATTATTTACTTCCCTATGCCCACGGATGGGGGGATATAAATTAACAAGACTGTGCATTGTTTAAATCCGAGTAAAAGGTTAAAGCCACATTTAAACAGGATAAGTACTGAAACAATTAGTTTAATAGAAACGAATTAGAAGACAAGCCTCCTACTGGTTTGCCCTTTTTTTGAACTGGGTACTGCATTTAGAGTGAAGGGAACATAATCCAGGTATTGCTTGATCCTCCATAGCCCATCTTTCTCGGAACAAAAGAATACTAAAAGAAATATATCCCGGAAGTGAAATCCCTGTCATCTTTGCTTTCCAGTCTGCAACGTTCCAGGACAGAGTAGGGGTCTCTAACCTTGGCCACTTTAAGCTTTGCTGGCTGGGGAATTCTGGGAGTTGAAGTCCTCCAGGCTTAAAGTGGCCAAGGTTGGAGACCCCTAGGATAGAGACCCTGGACAGGAATGCTAGAAAGTCTGAGTCGGCTGGTTTTGGGGTCCATCCAGCTATGTTTCAAAGGATTTTTTTTTTTGGGGGGGGGGAGAACATTAGCAGGATGTGGTTGTCAGTTGGCCAATTTTCTTAGGCTGCTGTCCCTAGATCAAGGGTCTTCTTCAAACTTGGCAAGTTTAAGACTTGCGGACTTCAACTCCCAGAATCCCTGAGCTAACATGACTGGAGGAGGAACTCTGGGAGTTGAAGTCCACAAGTCTTAAAGCTGTCAAGTTTGAAGGCCCCCGGAATAGGTAGATAAAGAGAGGTAGAATAGATAGAGAGAAAGAGAGAGAGATAGAATAGATAGAGGGAGAGAGAGAAAGATAGAATAGATAAATAGAATAGATAAAGAGAGGTAGGATAGAGAGAAAAAGAGATAACATAGATAAAACAGTTTAAGGGTCTCCACACTTGGCAAGTTTAAGACTTGTGGGCTTCAACTCCCAGAATCCCTGAGCTAACATGACTGGAGGAGGAATTCTGGGAGTTGAAGTCCACAAGTCTTAAAGCCGTCAAGTTTGAAGGCCCCTGCTCTAGATAAATGATCAGAAAAAGCAACATTTGGCCTGAGAAGGTTAGAGACTGAGGAAGAAGATAGAGAACAGACCTCCTGCTGCCTTTAAGATTTCCTAGTACCCAGAGTCAGGGACAAGTCCATGGGCAGAACAAATAGGGCCAGCTTGGGAAACAGGATCAGAACGTTGGGCATTATGTCCAGGCTCCTTCGAAAGGAATTTACTTGCAAGAAGGAATAGCATGTTGTGGATGAGGCAGCCATTAGATCAGGAAAGCTGGTTGAGGAATTCTGGGAGTTGAAGTCCACAAGTCTTAAAGTTGCCAAGGTTGGACACCCCTGCATTAGATGAACAGAATCAGGACCCAAGCAGGGGAAGTGGGGCTATAGTTTGACTGGTCTGCTCTTTAACATTGAGTTGTGAGAAAAAAATCACATCCGGGAGGTTACAAAGAGGTTGTGTTGATCAGTTTGGTGTTCTCTTCTTTGGCCTGGATGAATTTTGGGCGGGAGTGTCCTCTTTTTTTTCTTTTGTTTTACACACTCGGAAAATGAATTTGTCAACTTCGTTAACAGGAAAACACCAGGAGGGTAGCAAAGTGTTGAGAGAGTCAGTAGCAACAGACACTGATTTAACTACCTCAAGTTTGCATAATGATGGTTTGTTGGTCTTCTATGGACAGGATGCTGAACAACGGAGCTAAGCCTTCTTTATCTTCCATGGGACCAGCTGATGCCTGTATCTTCCCTTTTATTGGATCAAGGACATTGTACCTCCTATGCTTATTGGGACCTGACCTTGGAGGTGGTGGAGCATTCTGCTGTACAGGTAATTGCTAACTGATACTATGATCTCTGGAGCTTATGCTATCTTCTCTTGTGATCTTGGGTCTGCTCCCAGAATTTAGCAGATATTATATACCGCTATTGTGAAAAATATGTACAGGTGTACTTTGAAATCCCCTTAGAAATGTTTGCATTTGGTGAGAAGGCAGCTGACCGAGCAGCGAAGCGGTACGGACAAGCGGCAGCTCCGCAAAGTCCTACCGACTTCTTCAAGTCCCGAGGCTCTACAGAGCCAAGTCACCCTGGAGGGGTGATGAAGGTAGAGGGGATGCTTCGGTGGTCGCGAGGAGAGCGCAGTCTCCTCAACTGACCCAAAGAAAACTCCTTGAACCGTCAAGAAGAGAGGACAGCCATTATGGCCGAACTGAAGTCGTGAAGACAGCTGGAACGGAAGGGAAGAAAGGAAAGATCTTGTGGCAGTGTGCTTTGTCCGGGTGAGAAATTTTTCTAGCTTTTGCCGTGGAATTTTCCCTAAAGCACCCCGCTTAGAAAGGGAGCTCAACGGAGGCATGTAGCGGCAACTAAAGACTTGGAGCTATGGCCAGATTTGGCTAAGAAAGAAAACAAATTGGAGGCAGAAGTAACTTTTAAAAATAAAGGACAGACTGGACTGGTTAGCTCTTTAAAAACTAAATCAAATTTCAAATTCTGGATTATATTTTTACTATCACTTTGACTTGAAGAACTTTGGGAAATTATTGGAAAATATTTGCATTTGGAGACATTTTATTTGCAGTAAAAATGGAGAAAAACAAATAATAATAATAATAATAATAATAATAATAATAATAATAATAATAATAATAATAATAATAATAATAGTAGTAGTAGTAATAGCAATAATAGCAGCAGCAGTAGTAGTAATAGTAAAGTGACACCTGCTGGCTGAACTGGAAGAAGTTGCTACAACTAGGGTAAATTGACTAGAATACACATATCATCTGCAACTCTTTATACTTAGTCTTTGGAGACAGACAAGGAAGTTAGCTGTGAGAACCATGAGGACTATAATTATGTTGGACAGTGTGCAACTGTGAAAAAACTTGGGAGTTTTGGAACAAGGTGGAGACTGTTAAGGGGCTAATTAATGGGGTGATTGTTTGAACTGCTTTAATATTGGCTATCTTGATGCGATATAATTGGGACATTTGGATTCTGACAGATTACTGAATAAAACTTTAAGCTTATTAAAACAAGACAAAATGGGATTGCAAGAAGAAACAAATGTTCTACTAAAAGAAATAGTATTGACCCTCCAAGGCAAAGGTCACCAAGTGGTGGGCCACGAGAAAATTTTTGTGGGCCACAGAGAAATCTCACCCCTAGAGCACCCCCCAAAAGCAATTAATCCAGGCTGTGCAGAAACACAAGGCTGCGCCGCCCACGTGGCCCGTGGGAACCCTTCCCACCCACTCACTCTTTGCCCGGCAAACTTGCCTGCTAAATTGCTCTTTTTCCTTTTTCTGACCATCAGCTGTTCTGCTGTGCTGGGAGATTTAGATTAGCTAGAAAGCAGGAAATGGTTGGATTTCTTGCCTTCTAGCTTGTCTTTTGATCTCAGTTATTCAGACTCACGGCAAGCAAATTTGAGAGACTGAGCTAGCCAAAGGCAGATAGATCGATCACTGAATGATTCTGTGAGCAACTCAATCTGCCTGCCTGCTTTGCCTGATTTTCGGTAAAAGTTGCTCTTTTTTAAAAAAAAAATCAATATTTACATACATGGTGTGTTGTGAGTTAATTTTGTGAGTTTGCTTGCTAGCAAATTTTATGAGTTTGCTTGCAAACAAATTTTATGTGACAGACTGAGCTAGCCAATGGCAGAGAGATAGATCTCTGAATGAATCTGTGATTCTGTGAGCAACTCAATCTGCCTGCCTGCTTTGTCTGATTTTGGGTAAAAGTTGCTCTTTTTCTTATAAAAAATTCAATATTTATGACCACCAAGTCACACCCACAAATTAGGCCACGTCCACAGAACCAGTTAGTGGCCCCTGGGATTTAAAATTATGAGTTTGGTGGTCCCTGAGGTCCAAAAGGTTGGCGACCCCTGCTCCAAGACATGCAGGAAATTGTAACAAGGAACCATAGGCAGATAAAAGAACTGATACAGGATATAATTATGAGACCATAAAACCAGAACTAAAAAACATTAAATAAACAGGAAACTCCGGAAACAGAAAATAAAATAGAAGGAACAAAAGAGGACGGGGAGGAAAAACGATAAATGATACAAAAAGATAAAAAACGATAAAAAAAGATAAAGCAGAAACAGAAATGATGAATTATAATTTGAGAGACCAAAAGCCAGAAGGAGATACGGTGAGGAAAAGATCATTGAAAGATCATCATAAAACAGTGAAGAAATGATATAGAAGAAATATTTAGATTAAAGATGAAAGAGACAAGATGATACAAGATCCCGTGGAAGGAATATGGGAGACGTGCCAAGGAGAGTTGAGATGCGGAGTTGAGAGTTGACGTGCATAAGAGTTGAGATATGAAAATGGACAAGAGATGAGGAATAAATGTAAAACACTGTATTACAGGTGTTATACCGTCATGAATTAGTATAAAGATAGAAAATAGAAACAGGGAAAGGATCACTTTTTTGGATTGGAGCACTATTCTTTTAACAGGTAGTAGCAGATGCTAGAAATCTAAACATGTAAACAAAGAGGTATAATAGAATAATGAATAGTGTATAATTATGATAAATAAATTTTGGGATTATTTGGAAGTTTATTGGCTATAAGTGTGATGTCTATTGGATGTTTATAGATGATGGGTATTAGTAAAGGACTATGGATAAAACTGAATAGAGGGCCTAACTAAACAATGTACAACTTATAAAGGATAAGCAAAGAGATAGATGAATAGGTAGTGAGAATAATCATTATAATTACGGTTTGTATAAGACTTACTATTGAGATTTAGTAGAAAATGTACCCAGATGGTATACTGCTACTGTAAATATAGAAGTCCTATACACAACCAAGAAAACTGTATAGTGTGATGTACAATGTATTAACAATGGAAAATGTACAATAAAAATAATTGGGGGAAAATGTTTGCATTTAAGGATCATTGAAGGGAGTGCAAGATGGCTAAAAGCCAATATTATTCTCTCAAAATGTTTCCATCTAGGAAGCCAAGAGATTTGAGTGAGTTTGGTGGAAGCTACTCTGGGGTGAAGCTGTTGTAAGAGGGGCTTGTAAAACTCATCTATTTTTCACCTATCTTTATTGAGGATAAATTGCAATCTGCAGCAAAATCCTGTATCCCGCAAGATAGTTCTTGGAAATTCCAAATTCTTGGAAATTCCATACATGTCAAGTCTTGTGCATGTATGCTCTGAAGCAACTGGGTTGGTAACACGACTAGTATAGTTACACGATTTCCATCATAGCCTTAAGCCCATCTATTTCTTGAATTACCTCTTGTAGCTGACCAAAAATTGCAATTGCTTTTGCAGTCAGGAGGCAATTCTTAGCAACCAAGTCCACATAGGTTTAAATTATTAATCGTTTTAAAAGTGCCCACCCCGCTTATCTCTTATAAAAGCCTCATCTTTGGAGGAAGGGAAACCATCCACTTTCCAAATAGGGAATATGATTTATTGGTGGAGATTTTTTTTGGGGGGGGGGGACGGGGGGACGACAAGACTTGCATACTATATCCTTGGGCTGAAATATCATTTAATTTCAACTGTCTCTTCAGTTTCAGCAAAACTGTGCATTTTATGAAACCAACTGCCTATATACTATTCCAGACAAATGAGTAAAATACCATATTTTCAACAGGTTTCAGGTTCAATCTAATTCCTTTCTCGCAGAAATTTACATGGCATCAACTTCTACTGCAAAAATCATCTATTCACCTTTGGGACACCTCTTGGTGATGGGTGTGTTCTTTCTGCTGTGACTGTTGAAGCAAAGGCTTTGCCCCAGATTTCTGCAGCTCCTCTAGCCTCAGTTGCCTGTGGCTGAGATTCTGGCCTTTGTCCATGCAGAGATATCTGAAACATGGCTCCACCCCGAAACACTGGCCTTGTGGGGTACATGGTCCTGCTTGGAAGAAAACGTGTATTTCAGGGATTTATAGAGTACAAGCATTCGCAGAAGCAAAAGGCATGCATAGCAAACCAGACTACATAAGTAACAACAAGGCCGCATATGAGCATCCTATAGAAAACCTCCCCTAGCCAACGCTGCCTGCCCAGCCAATCTAGAACATGTGGTAAATAACAGAGGTGGAAGGGGCCTTGGAGGTCTTCTAGTCTAACCCCTGCTCAGGCAGGAAACCCTATACCATTTCAGACAAATGACTGTCCAATCTCTTCTTAAAATACCACCAGTATTGGAGCACCCACAACTTCTGGAGACAAGTTATTCTATTAATTGTTCTAATTATCAGGAAATTTCTCCTTAGTTCTAGGTTGCGTTTTTCCTTGACTAGTTTCCAAAACAACATAGACCAGGGGTATCAAACTCACATCCTCCTCACATGATGTATTGCAACTTTCCCCTTTTGCTAAACTGGCCGTAGACGTGGCCAGCGTGACACATCCGGCCTGCGGGCCACAAGTTTGACATCCCTTACCTAGATTAATAAGATTGGAAGGTATCTTGAGGGTCATCTAGTCCAACCCCCTGCTTAACCTTTATACCAGAGGTGTCCAACCATGGCAACTTTTTAAGACCTGTTGACTTCAACTTCCAGAGTTCCCCAGCCAGGATCTGAAGTCCACAAGTCTTAAAAGTTGCCAAGGTTGGACACGCCTGCCTTACACCATTCCGGTTAAAGGGCTGTCCAATCTCTTTAATTTTTAACTTTATAACTTTTGTCTTTTTTTTTTTTACTGCAAGCATACGGATCCCCATTAAAAATGAAAATCTGTGGCCTGCTCCCAAGAGAAAGTGTGTATCTATCAAAACACATATATACACATGCTATACACATACGTATTACAAACTACTCTAAAAATACGAGTTCCAGGTAAAAACTGTGAATAAAAGAGACAGACATCCCAATCTCTGGAACCAAACATTTATATTTTGTTAGCCTCTGCTAACATCGTCAATGTAAAACTACCATTAAGGAGATATGTGCCTTTATATAACATTAACCAACGGCCATTGTGCACATGACTTTGACAGCATTCTCTCTAGTTCCCTCCCTCATCTCAACGGACTTCCCCTTTGGTTTGTCCATTAGATTCATTTGTTGCTTTGCTCGTGATAGGAGGCAGCCTCTGCTCTTCTTGCAGGATCTTTCTTGGTGCCTCAATGCTTGGTAGGCAGGTAGCAGTTTGATAGGTCTATTGATGGAGTTGTTGTTGGAAAACCAGGCTTCTTTCAGCAAGCGTCCCCCTTTGGTTGCATCACGGGCAACAACTTGGGCCTCTTGAAAATTAAATGTGATTGTGTTCCTTCATATGTGTCCAGATCTGGGAGTGCTGCTACATATATATAGCATATGTCCCATATATACATATATACCTATACACACATATACATATATACACATATATGCACTAACATACATACACACATATATATACATATATATGTATGGTATTCAGCTTTGTTTGGGTATTTTCCCACGTCATTGTAGTTGTGCTTTTAAAGTTGTAGCAATGTTTCGGCAGAATCTCATCTGCCATCATCAGGCTTCTGTTTTGTGTTCGTCTGTATTGTGTTTGTCTGGAGCCTGATAATGGCAGATGAGATTCTGCTGAAACGTTGCTACAACTTTAAAAGCACAACTATAATGACGTAGGAAAATAACCGAACAAAGCTGAATACCATACATGTAAGTACCCACGAAAACTTTATATATATATATATCTATATCTATATATATATATATATCTATATATATACATACATACATACATACACACACACACACATATACATATATATATATATATATATATATACACATACATATACACGCACACACACATATACATATATATATGTGTGTGTGTGTGTATGTATTGTAATGTATGTGTGTGTTTGTGTGTATGTATGTATACATACATACATATATATATATATACATACATACATATATATATATGTTTTCGCGGGTACTTAGATGTATGGTATTCAGCTCTGTTCGGGGTATTTTCCCACCTCATTATAGTTGTCCCACGTCAACTTTAAAAGCACAACTATAATGACGTGGGAAAATACTGCCACCGAATCTGGATGTCTGGAGACCACGAAGCCTCTTCTGGAAGCCCACTTACCTGGGCGTTGCCTCCTCCAATGGGGCTGACTTCTGAGTAGACCCGCTAAAGACCACCCCTCCACACGAGGCCTCCCCCCCCTCAGAGGAACCCAGCCGTTGCCTTCCAGTCTTCAGGCCCGGCGCGAGACCCACCCAACTCCCCCTCAGCCACCAAAGGAGACCCCCCCTCTCCCCAACCCACGCCTCACCTCAAGCCCCGCCGGAAGCGCGAGCCGCACCTTCACGCCTCTCCTCCCGCCGCTCATTAGGTGCGGCCCCCGCCACTCCACTGTCCCGCCCTGCTATTGGCGGAGATCTCGCGTTCGGCGCCCGCCTCCCTTTTGGAGCCGTCCAAGTCTGATCATAGCGTGGGTGGCTGGGGGGTGGGAGGTCAGGCGAAACAATCCTACTCGAAGTAGCTGCGCCGCCCACCCCGTGAGAGAAAGATGGTGTGTTTTTTTTTAATTTCCGAGGAATTATTTTAGTAAGGATGCGCGACTAATCCTACCCCATTAGCCTGTCTTTTCCCGATTCTCTCTTTAGTGGTACGGTCCACTCACGAGAGGAAGGAAAGCGCAGAAGCGTGCCCGCGGAGTGCGGCTGTTGTTCAAATCAGGCGCTTTTTTAATCCGTGATGGCAGTTCTGAGCATGCGCCGGGTTTCGGGTTGGAGAAGGGAGGGAATGAAACCCGTTGCTTGCATTCATCTTGTTGGCAGTTGGGTTGTTTGATGTGACCAAGGCTGTGACAGTTATTTTTCTACAGCAGGGGTCCCTAACCTTGGCAATTTTAAGACTTGTGGACTTCAACTCCCAGAATTCCCCAGGATTCATGGGGAATTCTGGGAGTTGAAGTCCACAAGTCTCAACGTTGCCAAGTTTGGAGATCCTTGCCTATGAGTATACAAGTGAACGTTTCAATGCATGTGGGATGGGTTTGTTTGCATGGCTGCAGCTACTTTCCAAAAATTCGGATAGCAACTCCAACTTCACACCAACACATTTTAAAACCAGTGACAGTCACAGCAAGAAAGCGAAGCCCTCCCAGGAAAGGAGAGGTGGTGGCAACAGATATCTGATGCAAAAAGGGACAAATATTTGATGCCATTCCATATGTGGCACCAGTAAGACATCTTTTTAACTTGTTATGGATGGCATTGCAAAGAAATAACTTATCTCACTGAAAGTCACCCAAGTTCAAGAATAAATTATTATAGGGTAATTTAATTTCTTATGACAGGGTGATTATGAATCTGAATTACTCAACTGCCAATTGTATGATGGTGTAAGCAGAAATCCTGACAGCAAACTCAAAAAAATAAAATAAAACTCAACCCTGGTGCAAAGCCAGATTGCAAAAACTCAGGCCATCATTAAGTAGCACCAAAGACATTCAAAAAATACTCTCACATTTCCGCTATTTAGTCATCTGGATTCATGCAACTCTGATCTGGTAGTTCCCAAAAAGAAGGTAAGGAATTGTTATGTCTGAAGAAATGTACTTCATCTCAAAGCATTCTCTTGGCATGTAGGCTTCCTCCCTACAAGGTCTCAAATTAATCTGCAAGATATTATCAACTGAAATAATGTGCTCACTTAAATTCTGTTTGGTTCAGTGACACATATTCTCAGGTAAATAAAAGTTCAACCTGCACAGCTAATCTGTACAATACAGAAAGGATTCTCTTTGTGATACCTGCTACAAAAGTCTCACTGAGCTTAATAAAGTTACTTCATAGTGAAATGTTCCTTAACTAAGATATCTTTAGGGAAGAACTTGGGAATAAATCCTACTGATTTCTGTTCTTCTTCCTTCCGAATTAACATAAATAGACGTGCCTCGTTAGGGGCTTCCCATACAGCAGGACTCTTCAAACTTGACAGCTTTAAGACTTGTGGACTTCAACTCCCAGAATTCCTCCTCCAGTCACGTTAGCTCAGGAATTCTGGGAGTTGAAGTCCACAAGTCTTAAACTTGACAAGTTTGAAGAAGACCCTTGCCATACACCCTACATTACAGACCAGCATATGAGACCATGCCTTTTCTACACAAGGGCAGTCACATAAAGCAGTCCCCAGAGGGAGATTTAAATCTCTGGGCTGAATTTCGATTTTTTAACCAATGAGATTTTGTTTCTTAAAACCGGAGTGTCTTGCTAAAACCCCGAAGCCAAACTCAGCTCTAGCCTTACCTAAGTTATTCCATCCACGGGCGGCCAGCCGTTTGAGTTCAAGCCCGATCATCATGCGCAGAAGTCGGGAGCGGTGAAGTAGGAAGGATTTTTTCCCCCCCACGGGTCTTGTTTCTACGCGAGGAGTTTAGCCGACTGGAGAGGCGGCGAGAGCAACGGATGGGTGAGTCTCGTTCCCTTTTTCGTCCCCCCCCCCTTTTTTTTTGGTGTGGGGGGTGGGGAGCTGCAAGCTGCGGCCTCGTCTCGGCGTTTGTTTGCTTGTTTTTCAGGACCATGGTCAGCAACAGAAGCTCCACCGTGCTCCTGCCAGGTGTGTTGCGTTACAATCTTGTTGCGAACCGGGAGGGACAAATTAAGGCCAGTAATAACCCTGGGAACCAAAAACAGCAGGTCCCCGGCAAGATCGGCCTTAAAGCTGTCCCTCCCGATTCGCCACGAGATTGCACACACATACGCGCGGACACACACACACACACACACACACACACACACACACACACACACACACAACATCTCAATTAAAACAGGATGTCTTGTCTTCGAATCCTCCCTTCCCATCCTCTGAGGATGTCCCTGTTTTGGAGGCTACATGGGGAAGCATCCCGTTAACACCGCTTAGGTGGATTCTCCGACTATGCCAAACCTCTGTGTGTGTGTGTGTGTGTGTGTGTGTGTGTGTCTAAATTAACATAAACCCACAAGCAGCTTCTCTATTTATTGCAAAAGAGTAAGCCCTGATTTTTCAAGCTTCGGTTCCAGCAAGACCATTCAAGCCGATGCCACAACATAGCTTAGGGAACAGCACAATTTTCTGGCACAAGCGTTGGAAAGTTATTTTATTTTATTTTATTTTTACTTTATGTAATAAGTTATGTAATAAGTTATGTAATAATTTCATTTATTTTATGATTTTATGATTTATTTGTATTCTGCCTTTATTATTTTTACAAATAACTCAAGCTGGTGAACATATCCAACATGCCCACCCCCTGCCTTTTCCCCTAAAACAGGGGACCTCAAACTTGGCCACTTTAAGACTTGTGGACTTCAATTCCCAGAATTCTCCAGCCAGGTGGCTGGGGAATTCTGGGAGTTGAAGTCCAGAAGTCTTAAAGTGGCCAAGTTTGGAGACCTCTGCCCTAAAACAACAACCCTGTGGAGTGGGTTGGGCTGAGAGGGTCCCAGAGCTTTTTTAAGCTACCTTTTGATAAAATAAATTCAAAGATGGATAGCACAGTGGGGACAGTCAATTACAAAATCAGAGAACAGAGAGTACTCATACAGGGTTTGCCAAGTATCCAGCCTTGGCTGGCTCAGGTTTGAAGTGCAATTATTAAAAATTTATACATATCCTTTATACGCTCAAAAGTGTTCCCAATATAGTATTAATCTTATTCATTTAAATCAGCATTTATATTTTTTGAGTCAAAAGTCCATGCTTGATGTTTGTTCCTTGATGGAGATCAGATTCCCCAGGTCCATTTTCTCTGGATTAATTGAAGTTTTCCTGATCCTCTGTGAGGAGAGCTATTTTAGAATTTATACAGTATTTATATTATTTTAGCGTAATATAAATCAACATAGCATTGTGCTGAGAAAGCAGGGTGTATGAGGACCCATAGATTGGATATGTCACAACTAATAACTATAATTTGGTTTGGATCCTTTAACATTGTGTTTCCCTTGTTGGGGGCAATTGACTGACTCTGTTAACTACTTCCAGAGGGCTGTAAAGCACTGTGAAGAGGTATATAAGTCCAAGTGTTATGGCTATTGCTATGCTATTTTTGTCATTGTGGCACAGTCATTAAAAGTGCAGTATTGCAGGCTGACTCTGCCCACAGCCTGGAGTTCGATCCTGACTGGCTCATGGTTGACTCAGCCTTCCATCCTTCCAAGATGAGTAAAATGAGGACCCAGATTGTTGGGGGCAATAGCCTGACTGTCAGGATTCCAGCAGTTACCCCAATTAAATCACGAGTCTCAAGCCAAACTTCCAAAACTTCAAAAGGATTTTTTGGGAGTTAACGTGTCTGGCACTGCCTGGGTGTAGCCGACTCATAATTCATTGTCACCCTTGACCCTGGTTTTCTCCCATCCCCCGGGTGTATCATAATCCATATTCTCCAATGGGACACATCCATAGCCAAGAATCATCAATCATGCTCTCCAGTTAGATCTTTGCATGGCAGAAACTTCAGTCACCTAGTTACTATCTTTGAAAACTGTTTATGGAATGCACTTTTGATTTCGAAGCTGCCACACTGCTGCCCCCTCCCTATCTGTTGGCAACTCTAAAAAGACCATAGAAATATTTTATGAGTTGACACTGACTCTGTAAACTGCGTATGGGCTGTAAAGCACTGTGAAGCGGTATATAAGTCTAAATGCTATTGCTATTTGTATTCGTTTACTCATGTTATTTCATCCGTAGACTGCTGAGAGTCCTTAAGGATTCAGTAGACTATAAGATGATGATGTCGATGATGAAGATGATGATGGCATAATCTTTACATAATCGCAATTAGAAATGTAAACTGATTCAACATATTAAGCTGGAATATGGTTGGCTATTTTGTGGCTTGGTATTTCTTACATATCAAACCAACATTGTTACTTTGGAGAATTGTAAGAACCCAAGCAGTTGGGACTGCCTTACATGGAGAAAATTATATCTAGCTCAATTTTAGTGACTGACTACATCCCTGCAAGCTTTTAGGCAGGAAATCCAAATCATATTTGGAAGTTCTAAGAGTGTAATCTTGGATTTTTTTCCCCAGATAACATACACACTCTACCAGTGAGCTGCTATTCATTTTCCTTATGTTACAGCATGAGACTAAGTTAATTATTGGCAAAGATATAATGGAAGAATCTATATTGCATGATCCAAAGTACTCTAGACCTGCACTCATTTTATAGTGGACAGATTTTTATTCCATCTATATATATAAAAGTGAAATATTATTCACTCATCATCACAAAATCTCCAGAACCGTAAAGCCTACAAACTTGAAATTTGACACATATGTTTCTCTTGGTTTCTAGGTGCTCACTAAGAAAGGATTTTTCAAAATGACCATCAGAGCACAGGGAATTTCCTATATTATTATTATTATTAACATGCTCTGATGCTAAGGAGTTCTACTCCCCCTCCCCACCTGAAAAGAAATCTGTTCCAAAAGCAAAACACAAGCGGAGGAGTTTCAGTTTCAGAGCAGCAACCAGCTTTAGTACAGAACAGTTGAGCTAAGCCACGCCCAGGCTCCTTGCTGTTTTCTTCTTGTTCACACAGCACATACTCTTTCAGTTTCCAAACAGCCCTCAACTCTCTCCCACATGGACAGGACGCTAGCCAGATGAATACTGATGGATGCTGGTAGGCAGAGGCAGAATTTTCCTCCCTTATGTTCCTCCCCCAAAACCAAGCCTGACCACATAGTTTTGTAGCGAAGCACAGGTATTGAGCTAGTAATTTAATAATTTAACAGCAGCACTAACTGCTAGTGCAATGGCTTCAGGAGTTTATATTCTAACCTCTCCTATCTCCATACCACTTTGCAATTTTAATTTAGGTTCCAGTTTGGGAGCTAGGAACACTCTGGAGATCTTGCTGGGAGAATTGTCCAAGGACTTCTTGACTCGCCCTCTAACACGGAATGAAGCCTGTCTTGTTCTACTACGTGTGGCCGTCTTTGGCGCCACCACCTACTTCGGTATAAAGTGGGTCTCGGATGCCCTAGACCCTGCCCAGAAGCAACGAATGCAGTTGAAGAAAAGAGTATGTACTACAAGTATCTTTGTGGCTGGGTTCCCATGATGAAATTAAAGCCACTGTTTAATCATGATTTGTCTTAATATTTTTGACAAGTTCTAACAGACTCACAGGGACATGGTGGCTCAGTGGCTAAGACGCTGTCGATCAGAAAGGTCGGCAGTTCGGTGGTTCGAATCCCTAGCGCCGCGTCACGGAGTGAGCTCCCATTACTTGTCCCAGCTTCTGCCAACCGAAAGCATGTAAAAACTGCAAGTAGACAAATAGGGAGCACTTTGGTGAGAAGGTAACAGTGTTTAGGGCGCCTTATCAGTGTTTAGACATGCTGGCCACATGACCACGGAGACGTCTTCGGACAACGCTGGCTCTTTGGCTTTGTAACGGAGATGAGCACTGCCCCCTAGAGCCGGGAACGTCTAGCACATATATGCGAGGGGACCCTTTACCTAACAGAATCACTGGTCCTTCTTAACTCTTTTTTGTTTGCTGTGCCCTGAGTTGCCTTTCTATATTGTTATGCAATATCTCACAGCATTTTTACGGTTCTGGCTCGGACAAAGCTAAATATATCCCACCATTCTCTGTTCCCATACATACCAAGCTCCCACCTTTCAACTGAGCTTCATCTCAGCTGTCACTACCTATGACTCAATGTAGACCATAATAGTTGAGTTGGTCCAATTCACTGGTCTTCAGTAGGTTGTTTGGACCAGGGGTCTCCAACCTTGACTACTTTAAGACTTGTGGGCTTCAACTCCCAGCTGGCTGAGGAACTCTGGGAGTTGAAGTCCACAAGTCTTAAAGTTGCCAAGGTTGGGGACCCCTACTTTGGACCAACTCAACTATTACGGTCTACATTGAGTCATAGGTAGTGACAGCTGAGATGAAGCTCAGTTGATAAGGTGGGAGCTTGGTATGTATGGGAACAGAGAAGGGTCATATTTAGCTTTGTTCAAGCCAGAACCATAGAGATGATGTGAGATACTGCATAACAGTATAGGGAATTACCAACCATTCCAAGATCTAGCAAAAGAATCGGGTTCAGAAATGAATGGATAGCCTGCTAGGAGATAACATTTGTTTTGACCTTTACTGCACACGAGAAAACAGGCTAGAACATCTCTAATATGGGCATCCCTCATTTGTGTTATACAGTACTGGATGTGGTGATCAAACACAACAGAACAGGAAATAATTATCACAGCCTTCCTGCCATGCATGCAAGCTTTTAATAATAGCCTCCCCCAGACTGATCTATTTGGAAGTGTTGAGCTTACAATTCCACAAATTTCCAGGCAATTTGGCTAGAACCAAATTAGGTCAAGGTGAGGAAAACTCATGTTTACAGAATGTATATGATACAAACTAAAAAGTAAACAAGCTGGACTCTTTCCCCACTCTTCTCTTTCCATATACATAAGCATATGCCTATTTAAAGAAAATTTTAACAAGATAAGAATAAAATCTTGCAAGTCTTGCACAAATTTCCCACCTCTTTTGAAATGCTTGCTTCAATAGGGAAGATCCTTCCTAAATTTATTTTTCTGACCATTAAGGGACTGTGATGCCTGATTGTTTCCTTGACTCTACCCCTCTTTCCCCAAGGTCATTCATACATTTTATTATGTGGACTTGCTTTCCTGTTGTAGATCTTATATTGTATCTTGTAAATTGTATTCTAGAAGAAAAACCACCAAGTCAGAGAACATCAAGAATACAGCAGGTCAATTCAGAGCTACATATATCCTCTACTATATAGAGAACCAAAGCAAATGCTGTGCATGGAATTCCTCATTCTTTCATTACAGTTTTTATTTATATGTTCATGCCCACACACTTATGAGACATCAATGAAATACAATTGCTGGCTTATAATAAAATTAGGTTAAAGTTTTGGAAACACCATAAAGTGGCTGAAAATGGAAAACACCCTAAAAAAAGTAATGCAAGAGTTTTGAACCAAAAATATATATATTTGAAGACAAGTCAGGTAGAGGAGGTATTCAGCAGGTTCTGACCAGTTCTGGAGAACTGGTAGCGGAAATTTTGAGTAGTTTGGAGAACCGGCAAATCCCACCTCTGGCTGGAGATTTTGCAGTATCCTTCCCCTGCCACGCCCACCAAGCCACGCCCACAGAACCAGTAGTAAAATAATTTGAATCCCACCACTGACGTCAGGTTAAATTCCAGTTTCTGTAAACAGTGAATAGCTGAGAAACAAAATAAGAAAAGAAAAAGGGAAATTATGAAGAGGCTTCTGATCTTTTTTGACAGCAGTTAGAAGTCCTATAAGTGGGATAATTTCCTCAAAATAATTGTGCTCGGTTCTTGTTGCCTGTTTGATGCGGCTGAAAAAGCCGCTGCTTGCTTTTCAGTGACTGTGTAGAATTGACTAGACCGGTTTCAACCACATCTATTTTGTGTTCATTATTATGAAGACCCACAGTTCTTTTCTGAACCTGTACTGGGCACCTGTGCTGAATATAGTAAGTACCAGTCAGCAGCTATAGCTCATTAAATCGAAAATGCCACGTCAACCTAAACAGGTTTCAACCTTGAAATTAATCCGCCACTTTTTTTAGGGGTGTCAAACTCAATTTCATTGAGGGCCACATCAGGGTTGTGTTTGACCTCGGGGGCGAGGGGGCAGTAAAGTGTGGCCAGGGTGAGCGTGGCCAGCTCAACATCACTCGAATGTACTGCCCATGAAAATGGGCTCCCGAGCTCCGTTTTCTGCTGCAACAGCCTCCTGCAGTCTTCGGCCAGTGAAAACGGAACCCGGGTAGGCTGTGATCCTCCTGAGCTCGATTTTCGCTGGCAGAGGCACTGCAAGCCAGTCCTTCGCTGTTTCCAGGGCGGCCCCACAGGCCCAATCTAAGCACCCCGTGGGCCTGGAGTTTTAACACCCCTGCCCTTTTTGATTTCTTCGGACAGGCAGAAGACCTGATGAAGCAGATTGGGATAGAAAAGCTGAAGCTGACGGAGCACGAGATGAACATCGTTGCTCATTTGGTGGTTCCCAGGGACATAAAGGTAAGAAGGAGAATTGCTGCTTCCCTTGTCCCACCCTCAGCTGTGACTTGAGATTCTCCCTGCGCTAAGCTGGACAACTGGGAAGAGCGATTTGGCCCTGGGTTGGCCGCTGAGCAAACTCAAAAGAGATGGTGGCAACAGCATGAAATGTCTGCTTAAAGGGGATCAACAGATTGATAAGAGTCGGAAGGGTCCGTGTAGGTCATCTAGTCCAGGGGTATCAAACTCAAGGCCTGTGGCTCAGATCTGGCCCAGGGGGTGCTTATATCTGGCCTGCGGGGTGGGCCTGGAAAGGACGGGCCGGTGGTATCTCTGGCAGCCAAAACGGGGCATGGGGGGCCTGCACATGGCCTTCCCACACCCCATTTTCAGCCTGAATGGCCTCCTGCAGCACTCTGCCGGGCCAAATAGGGCACACACACACACACACACCCATGCCCCATTTTGGCCCATGGGGTGCTGCTGGAGGGATCCATCCCATCTCTCCCCCCACCAGTCAGCCCACAGAGAGCTACAATGCTGATTTCTTCAAGAAATCCAGTTTGACACGCTTGATCTAGTCCAACCCTCCACCCAAGCAGGAGACCCTACATCATTTCAAGTCACCACCAAATCTCTTCTTGAAAGCCTCCAGTGATGAAGCTCTCACAACTTCCGAAGGCAACTTCTGTTCCATGGGTTGATTGTTCTCACTCTCAGAAAGTTTCTCCTTATTTCCAGGTTGAATGTCTCCTTGTTCAGTTTCCATCCATTCTTCCTTGTCTGGCCTTTGGGTGCCAGAGACCAAGGAAGGCTCTATCCACGCAGAATTTCGATTACATTGGCATCCAGTATGCAGGTCTTGGTGGTGAAGTAGGACCAGTTAGATCAGAGGCCCAGAGTCTAGAGTCCCAAATGGTAACCTGAAGAGAGCTGGTGGTCCTGACAGTAGCACATTGACCTGATATCCATGTCTAAAGTGATGTGGGAAAGGCAGAATTTCTGTGACTGTCACCCATCTCTCTCGCTTCCAAATGAATATGGAGGAAAATCAAATCAAAATGGCTGAGTCATGACTGTATGATCAAAACTCCCTAGCACTATGGAGCATTGACAGCATGGTTGTGGACATTATTTTCACTTTTTGAACCTATCCTGTGGACACCTGTGTTTTCATCTTATTTTTTAAAAGAGTATTCTGACCTAGGCTTCTCAAAATCACGAAGCAGACTCCTCGTCCCGACAAAACCCCTTTTATTTAGGCTAATGTGAATTCCTATCATTCACATTCAGCAAAGTCCCGGCAAACAGTCTTTCAAGAGATTTCCCAACTACAGACCTTTATCAGGCTTGGAGGGTTGCCAGGCTGATAGCTTCCAAACGCCACTCTGTAGCAGACAATACTTGGCAAAGAATCAGGAACAGATCTTCACCCTAATGAATTGAACTAATTGTCTCCTGCAAACCCCATTCCCCCTTTTGCTCCTCTTTATTCCCTAAGGGAGGGGCCATTCACCATCCAACTGTGGCTTTACTCCCAAGTCGACCCTTGTTCCTTAGCTGTTCCCCTCTCCTGGCAGTTCTGTGCATGCACACACTGGGAACAGGCTCCAGCTGCTCTTCTGCCTCACTGATCTCCGACTCTGAATGCAGCTGATGGTTCTGGCCCCATCTCTGCCTCTGATGCAGAGCCCTTGTCAGAGCCTTCCCCAGACTCCAGGACTGGCCCATGTTCCTCTCCAACCTCCTTACTGTCTGAGTCTGCCGCCAGCTCCACTGGCCATTGGCGGGCCACAACAAAGAGGGTGACTGTGGGGTAGAACAATCTGACCTATTATTCAGAGAGTGTATGAATACTGTATCTATCAAATGGAAAGTGATTTGAAGAGTAATTAACTATTATCAACAATAAGATTGCCTCTACTTACTCCAAACCAGACTTTCCCATTGAGGTAGCCCTCAACTCAGATTTAAATATTCAGGGGGAGAAAAAGTCAAGGGCGAAGAGAAGGAAGGAGCGTGAGCAGAACTGAGGGTCCATCTGAAGTCCAAAATTTGGACTTGGCCAGCTTTGGAAGCTAGCTGGTCTTACTAAATGGTTCAGAACCTCTTTCTTATTTCAGCCCTCCAAAAAATTTTATCTCATTTTCAGGTCACCTGGAACGATGTTGCAGGCTTAGACGAGCTGGTCAGTGAACTTCGAGACGCCGTAATCTTACCTTTGCAACAGACACGCTTGTTCGAGCGCTCCAAGCTCTGCCAGCCCCCAAAAGGTATCCTTGGCATGTCTTCCATTTTAGAATCCAGAGGCAAATGAGTCATTTCAGGCCCCACCCTCCAGCTTCTGCCTCACTTTATCCCATGTCAATGTAATTTTTATTTTGTGGTCTATTGATGTCAATAGCCAAATACATAGAAGCATTTAGGAAAGCCCCACGTACAGGTAGTCTGTGATGACCCGGGGCGTGGCACAAAAGCAACAAAGTCCCAAAAGTAGGTAAAGTCCCTTTAATGCCTCCAACTTGGCCCACAATGTCCAGTTATCATCAGCCGGAGAAAAAACTCTCCCAAGAACAGTCTTTAAAGGGAAGAAATTCAGTCTGAACCCAAAGTACATATAGATTATAAATAAAATCAACACAAGCCACACTGCAGCAATTAACGAGACAGGGCAGGATAAGGAATTGAAGACTTCCAAAAGATCATGAAACACACACAGTTAGGAGGATGCCAGAACCCAGATAAGACTTTGACCAACAAAGATAATTCATGCTTTGCTTCCAGCAACTTTGCTGTGCGTAGTTTACCTTTTTAAACAGTTTTCTCAGCTGCAGCTAAGGAAGGGGATCAGGGCCCTTTCTTCCCCCATAAGCCATGAAACCCACATTGCTCTCTTCCCCATTCCTCCCTGAGTGTCCTAGGATGAAGAGGGGGTGGGCCTGGGTCTTCCTCTGAATGCCCAGCCGGAGAGTGCCCTTCCCCAGTTTCCTCCACAGCCACTGGAGCCACACTCCCACTCCCTGTCAGCTGCTCGACCTCCCCCTGGGAATCAGATTCCAACAGGGGCATGACATAGTCCTTGAACTTAAAACCCAAACTGAGCCCAACATTTCAGTTGCTAAGCAAGGCAGTTCTTAATTTAGCCATGCACCATTTTTATGACCATTTGCCATAGTTGTTAACTGAATCATGAGATCATGAAGCACATCCGGCTTCCGCCATTGTTTCCTGTTCATCAGGAGCTCCCTAGGAAGGTTGCAAATGGCAATCCAACCCAATCCCCAGGTTGCTGTAGCCATCATAAATACAGGCTGCTTGACAAGCACCTGAAGTTTTGATCATGTGACTGTGGGGATGCTGCAGTGGCCATAAGTAGGAGAACTGGTCATAAGTCACTCTTTGCAGTGCTGTGGTAACTTTGAACGTTGATTAAACAAATGGCTGTAAGTTGTCAACTAGCACTAGTGAAATACTTCCATATTTCATTTTGTATGTTGTATTGCATCCTGAAGCATTCAATATAAAGTGTTGATCCATCTGATTATTTCCAATACTAAGTGACAGAACAGAATAACAACTGGAAGGGACCTTAAAGGTCTTCTAGACCAACTTTCTGCTTGAGCAGAAGATCGTATACCATTTCGGATGAATGCCTGTCCAATCTCATCTTGAAGATCTCCTGTGATGACCTGGGGCGTGACACAAAAATAACAAAGTCACAAAAGTAGAATAAATTCCCTTTAATGTCTCCAACTTGGGCCCCAATGTCCGATTATCAAACTCTTCCAAAAACAATCTACGAAGGGAAGAAATGCAGTCCGAACCCAAAGTAAAGATAATTAGAAATAAAAACAACAACACAAACCACAGTGAAGTAATTAACAAGGCAGGCAAGGATGATAAATTGCCGACTTTCAACAGATAACGAAGCACCCACAGTTGGGAGGATGCCAAAACCCAGATAAGCCTCAACAAAGATAATGCACGCTTTGCTTCCAGCAAGGAGCTGTGTGCAAACGCCGCACTTATATCCTGTTCTCCCAGATGTAACTAATGAAAGGGATCAAGGCCTTTTTCTCTCCTGTAAGCCACGTTGCTCCCTTCTCCGTTCCTCCCTGTATGCCCTAGGATAAAGGGGGGTGGCCCTGAGTCTTCCCCTGTAATGCCCAGCCAGACTGTGCCCTTCCCCCATTTCTTCCACAGCCGCCGGAGCCACACTCCCACTCCCTGTCAGCTCCTCAATCTCCCCCTCAGAATCAGACTCCAACAGGGGCATGACACCTCCACAGTTGGAGCATCCACACCACTGATTTAATGGTTCTGTCAGAAATTTATCCTTAGTTGTAGGTTGGATTTCTCCTTGATTAGCTTTCACCCATCGCTTCTTGTCCTGCCTTCAGGTTCTTTGGACAATAGCTTGACTCCCTCTTCTTTGTGGCGGTCCCTGAGATATTAGCACACTGTTATCATGTCAGCGTTGGTCCTTCTTTTCATTAGAAGTCTTTCTAGATTTCAAGTGATCTTTTTCACATTCCTACTTGTAGAGGTTGGGCCATGGAGAAAGTATGGAGAAACGGTTACAAAACAGAAACATACTTTAAATGCAGGAAATAGAGAAAGTACTAGAAAGAAGCTCAGGTTTTCTCATCCTAATACCCTGGTGTATAAGAGGGAGGGTAGGGAAGACACAGCCAAGCTTTCAAGATTGTGTTCTAATTTGATAATATTGTATAACTTAATAACCCTTGAAGGGTTGATATTATCCATTGCCCATGTTGGCGAATATTGTTACCTAGGTGGTAAGTGGTCATACTGATTATCTGGAAGGCCATAAACTCCTCCATTCTTGTTATACCTTTCAACAAGTGACCATATTTGTTATAAAAACAGCTGAAGTAATTTCCATGTTATTTTGTTCTCTAAGTGGGGGAAAAAAATCTGTCAACGCTTCTCTTTATACTGAAATATATTCACTAAACTGACTTAAGCACAAAGTCCTATATGGGAACAAAGATTTGGCAAGGATTCAGCGGTATAAAACAGCCCCTTCCTGTCTTTGCCATGCTGTAATCTAGTAAAAAGAGAGATGGCTGATATAAATGGTGTTCAAAAATTTTAATATCACAGTGAATACGGGAACACTGCTATCATGTCATCCCTCGTCCTGCTTTTTTCATTTGACCATTTCAAATGGGCCCCCATCCAAATATCAAGCTTGGGACAGGTGTCCCCCTAAAACAGGCACATCTAAAAGAGGGGTCTTCAAACTTGGCAGGTTTAAGACTCGTGGACTTCAACTCCCAGAATTCCTCCTCCAGTCACGTTAGCTCAGGGATTCTGGGAGTTGGAAGTCCACAAGTCTTAAACCTGCCAAGTTTGAAGAAGACCCTTGATCTAAAGGCAGGGTCACGCTCTTTTCCTGAATCAGAATAAGGGCTCTTACCTTTGATTCATTAGGAGGCAGGTAATAGGAGAACCACCTGAATATGGGCTGATGGCTTTCCCTTTTATTTAGGTGTCTTACTGTATGGACCACCTGGATGTGGCAAGACTCTTCTTGCCAAAGCAATGGCCCAGGCATCTAACTGCAGGTTCATCAACCTTCAAGCACCCACCTTGATGGACAAATGGTATGGAGAATCACAGAAACTTACAGCAGCCGTTTTTTCTCTGGCCATCAAAATCCAACCCTGCATAATTTTCATTGATGAAATAGGTAAGATCAGTGGTGGGATTCAAAAAATTATTTACTACTGGTTCTGTGGGCGAGGCTTGGTGGGCGTGACAGGGGAAGGATTCCCCATTCCTGGGGGAAGGTTATTGCAAAATCCCCAATTCCCTCCCCACCCCACTAACCTGCTTTCCAGCTCCATTCTTCTGTGCAGGGCAACCAAAGAAGACCTAGCCAATCAGCTGGGACTTGGGAGCTGGGGAATAGATGGGGGCGGGGCCAGTCAGAGGCGGTATTTGCCGGTTCTCTGAACTACTCAAAATTTCCGTTGCCGGTTCTCCAGAACTGGCTGAATACCACTCCTGCTAAGATCCCAGTCTGCGGTTCTTGTGTATCACATGCCATAACTTAATGTTCTTTCCTCATTATTGACTTTGATTTTAAAAATTTACCTTTTGGGGTACTGCATGGAGTCAACAGTTTTCTGCTTAGGTCCTTTCACACGTCTTTCCATTAAATAGGATTTTATTAGAACAGAACACTTCAATTGAAAAGAAGTGATATGGAGCATTGGTGGGTAGGGAATCAGACTTTTAATAAAAGCTTGAACAAATCACTCATAGTTTGGCAAAATTTTTGTGATTGGCCCTCCTATTGCTTCTGCCATTGTGTAATATATCCATCATATTCTATTAAAATTCTGTTTTTTTCCATTCTTCCTGAAAGATCCCAAAGGGCGGTAGGGTGAATTTTTAAATCATAGATTTTAAAAAAAACCTGTGGGTTATTTTGTCTTCTGTCATCCTTGGTGTCATCACCCTTTAAAAGAAGGTAGAATATGATCATAATGTAAGAAACAACAGTTCAGTCTTTGGGGGAAAAAAAAACTAATTTCCACTGAAAGTCTGTGGAGATTCAAATTGAACCAGGCCATGGTTGCCCCAAAGGTGCTTTTTCAGGAGGCAACTGGACTTCCGTGTTTTTCTTTGAAGAAAAACTCATCCAGGAAGCTTCTTCAGCTCTGACTGGATGGTGGGGAAATGGAAGGATTTGTACTCCTTGCAGACAGCTGGTCATTTGCATCCTTTTAGAGCAGGGGTGTCCAACCTTTCACCTTCCCTGGGCCACATTAGAAGATGAAAATTTGGTTTGGGCCGCACATAAAATAAAATAACAGTAACGATACCTGATCATCCCCAAAAAACATAGAAAACATAGTTAACATATTAAATTTATTTGGAAATGAAGTTAGTGAGATGCTTTTATTATTTATTATTAATTATTTATTAAAATTATTTTTTTTTAATCATGTTTTTTTAATCATGGTTTATCACGGTTTATTTTCTGGCCAAATTTTGCGGGGGCGGGGGGAAGAAAGCTCGCCCGCCTCGTGCCTACCTCTCCTCCTGCAAATGGCCCGGCTGGATGCAGCAGGACTGGAAGGCAGAAGCAGCAGTGGCGGCGGGGGCAGAAGCGGCGGCGGCGGCAACAGCAGAAGGTGGCGCTCTGACGGCACCCGCCTTTTCTGTTGCTGCTTGGCATGGCGCTCGCCTCGCCCCGCCTCGTGCCTGCCTCTCCTCCTCCTCCTCACTGGTTCTGGCACGAAGGTTGGGGTGGGCACTGGGCCGCATTACAAGGCGACCTGGGCCGCATGCGGCCCGTGGGCCGCGGGTTGGACAGGCCTGTTTTAGAGGGTCATTGAGGCCACTTGGAGGTTTATCTGTGTCCTTGGGGTCACCTGAGTAGTGCAAATGGCTGTGGAGCCTTCTTAGAAAAAAAATGCAAATTACAGGAACCATTTGCACTTCAGCTTGAGATGCAGACAACAACAGACTGGTCTCCAAAGGCCCGAGCCTGTCTTCAACTGTGAAGGGACACAGGGTAGAAAAACATCCTGCAGCCAAGAAAACTCCACAGCCATTTGTACCGCTTAGGTGACCCCGAGGACACAAATAAACCTCCAAGTGGCCTCCACAACTCTCTCAAAGAATGCAAATGACCAGCTGTCTGCAAGGAGTATAAATCCTTCCATTCCCCATCATACAATCAGAGTTGAAGAAGCTTCTTGGATGAGAAGCAAAAAGGCTTCAAAAGAAAAAAAAACAAGAAAGTCCAGTTGCCTCCTGAAAAAAGCACCTTGGGGTCTAATTTCCACTGCATTTTGCTATTGCTTTAGAATGAGATGAAAGAGAAAGCATGTTGCTGAACAAAACAGACCGATATCTATAGAGAAATGCAGTAATTCAAACTTTGTCGAATTATTATTTTAATATTCTACCCATTTCTGGTAGATGCCTTTCTTAGGAACCGTTCCAGAACTGACCATGAAGCCACAGCTATGATGAAAGCAGAATTCATGAGCCTTTGGGATGGGCTACAGACAGCGTCTGATTGCCAGGTAAGGCTTGGCACCTGGATCCATTCATGCAAATTGAGTCCAAGCCAGCATTAAAAATATGGATCATTTGTTCTTTCATCAGAGCCTGTGCATTTCCCTTGTTTGCACATTATGCTCATCCCACATACTGAAAAAAGAAACGTTAACACATCACAAATAAAACTACATGGTGACTTGAAGGTTAACACATGGTGGTGTGGTGACCACTTTTGGTCACCACACTATACAAAAGATGTTGAGACTTTAAAGAGTCCAGAGAAGAGCAAGCAGGATGATTAGGGGACTGGAGACTAAAACATATGAAGAACCGTTTCAGGAACTGGACCTGGCTAATCTAGGGAAGAGAAGGACCAGGGGAGACAGGAGACCAGGCTTCCAATATTTGAGGGGCTGCCCCAGAGAGGAGGAAGCGGTCAAGCTATTTTCTAAAGCACAGAATAATGGATGGAAACTGAACAAGGAGAGATTCAACCTAGAAATAAGGAGGAATTTTCTGACAGTGAGAACAACCAACCTATGGAACAGACGTTGCCTTTGGAAGTTGTAGGGGCTTCATCACTGGAAGCTTTCAAGAAGAGACCGGACTGCCAACTATCAGAAATGGTGTAGGGCAAGCATCTTCAAACTTGGCAACTTTTAAGATTTGTGGACTTCAACTCCCAGAATTCCTGAGCTAACGTGACTGGAGGAGGAATTCTGGGAGTTGAAATCCACAAGTCTTAAAGCTGTCAAGTTTGAAGACTCCTGGTGTAGGATTTCCTGCTTGGATGGGAGGTGGGGTGTTGGACTAGATGACCTACACTAGGTTTCTTCCAACTCTGTTAATCTCTTAATCTACTCATTTCAGGTGATGGTGCTGGGAGCCACCAACAGGCCTCAAGATGTGGACCCAGCCATCCTGAGGAGAATGCCAACCGCTTTTCATATTGCACTTCCTGTGAGTAGACCCGACTTCTCTTCCCACAAACCTTGTTCCCCATCCATCCACACTGTTGGATGGTAAGACCTCACATCCAATATGGACTTTTGCAAGATCCAGCCAGTCAAACCGTTAGGTTCTTTGGGGAGAATGAACGTGGAATCAGGAAGTTTTTGGCAGGGAGGCCTAGATGCCACTCCCCAAAAATAACTGCCGAACCACAGAAAACAACGTATAGAACATTTCATATTTAAATGCCTCCAACACAGATAAGAAAGTAGGAAAAAAGAGACGGCCAGGTTAGTGCAGTGGTGGTTTAGGCAACAAAGCCAGCTGGCTGACTTGACCCAGTCCTTCTGCCTCAGCCCCAGGTAGGGGGCAACCATGGCAAACCACTTCGGAAATATTGATAAGAAAATTGCAGGGATCTATCCAGGCAGTTACCAAGAGGGATCCCCAAATTAGGCAATTTTAAGACTTGTGGATTTCAACACCCAGAATTCCTCAGCCAGCATAGTTGAAGTCCACAAGTCTTAAAGTTGCCAAGTTTGGGGACCTCTGATCAAAACTCATTCAAAGGCACCCAATCTCTCTCTCTCTCTCCCCTCTCCTTTCTCCTCTCTCCCCCTCTCCCTTTCTCCCTCCTCTCTTCTCTCTCTCTCTCCTCTCCTCTCTCTCTTCTCTCTCTCCTCTCTCTCTCCCCTTCCCTCTTCTCTCTCTCTCTCTTCTCTCTCTTGCTCTCTTCTCTCTCCTCTTTTCTCTCTCTTCCCTCTCTCCTCTCTCTCTCCTCTCTCTCTCTTCTTTCTCGTCTCTTCTCTCTCTCCCCCCTCTCTCTCATCTCTCTCTCTCTCTCCTCTCTCTCATTTTTCGTATTGTCTTTTCAATCCCACTCTCTGCTCCGACAGACCCAAAGGCAAAGACAAGAAATCCTGAAGCTAATTCTGGCTGGAGAAAATGTAAGTTGCCTGCTTTCTTTGCCCATGTTTTCAAATGAAATCTTATTAAAGGAAAGAGCTGTGGAGGGAAAAAAATCCCTTCTGGAATGTTAACAAGTCCCTGTAGTCAGAGATAGGTTTCCCTCTAGGGCAGCAAGTTAAGCTTATTCGTGTAAACCTTTTCGGCAATAAAAACCCGAAACATTTGAAAACACAATGGATGCTCACAGGTAATCCTCAGGGTGTATGTGGCTGCCCTGGGCTTCATTCTAAAAATTGGTTCAAAGCTCTTAATTCTGATCTATGGCAGGACCCGTTAGATGTTTTTTCCTATGTCCTTGTTCTGACTTAGGCTTCTCCAAAAGCATGAAGCTGATTCCTCGTCCTGATAAACCCCCTTTATTTAGTTTACAGTGAATTCCTCTCTAGCAATCTCCAGGCCAACGGTCTTTCAAGATATTTCACAATTACTGACCTTTATTGGGCTTGGGGAGTTGCCAGGCCGATATCTTTCAGATGCCACGCTGTTGCAGACAATTCTTGGTGAGAATGCAGGAACAGATCTTCGCCCAAATAAACTAATTGTCTCCTACAAAATTGTCCCCTATATGTCTGGAGTTTCCTGAGGTGACAACAGGGGCAAAATCGTTGAACAAACCCAGGTTTTCATTTACTGGGGATTTTTCCTCAGATGAGCAACGCCGTGAACCTGAAGGAGCTGGCAGAGAAAACACGCGGCTACTCGGGCAGTGACCTGTGGGAATTGTGCCGGGACGCGGCCACGTATCGCGTGCGCGACTACGTCCGGAAACAACAAATGAGGCAGATAGCCCACCTGCTCCACCACAGAGGGAGTGTAGAAGAAACGTAAGTCATACCCCCATTTCTGACCCTTTGCCCCTGAACTCTTCCATAGGTTTGGTTGTTGGAAGATGCTGCGTTCCACCGTGAGAACATTTTATAGAATATAGCCCAGGCAGTCCTCAACTTACCGCAGTTCATTTAGTGACTGCTCAAAACCACGACGGCACTGGAAAAAGTGACTTACGAGTTGAACTCCTTAGCATCAGAGCGTGTGAATAATAATATAGGAAATACTAATGCTCTGATGGTCATTTTGAAAAATCCTTTCTTAGTGAGCATCTAGAAGCCGAGAGGAACATACGCGCCAAATTTCAAGTTTGTAGGCTTTATAGTTCTGGAGACTCTGTGATGATGCGTGAGTGGTATTTCGCTTTTATATATACAGAACAGTCAAGCTAAGCCACACCCAGGCTCCAAGCTGTCTGACATGGCTCACAACAGATCCTGTTTCTTAGTCACCAAACGTTTCCCATTGGCTGACTTGTTGTTATGGCTGTCCCAGCTCATAATTTCTTATACGCTGACAAATTCTTATATGCGATGATCTTGAGAAGGGTATTGAAGCCATGGTGGCACAGTGGTGAGAGTGCAGTACTGCAGGCTACTTCTGCTGACTACTGGCTGACTGCAATTTGGCAGTTCGAATCTCACCGGCTCAAGGTTGACTCAGCCTTCCATCCCTCTGAGGTGGGTAAAATGAGGACAGATTGTTGGGGGACAATAGGCTGAACCTGTAAACCGCTTACAGAGGACGGTAAAGCACTGTGAAGCGGTATTTAAGTCTAACTGCTATTGCTATTGCGTGACTGGGGTGGTATTGCTGGATGGAAGGAGTCCTTACATCTATTCACCTAACAGCTTACTCTCGTTGTGCTTGGGTGAAGAATACATAAATTTAATTTCATGCAGTGGCCTGGTGTTTTTAATCGTCCCAACTGAGAACAAACTTGAAAAGGAATAAGAACATTTCAACAGTTATGAGCTAAAGTTCAGGGGTGGCAATGGAAAAGGAGTTCTAGAGAGGAAGAACTAACAAGAAAGCCTGTTAGGAATGACGGTCACCTAACAGTTGGGTTGGCAATATATAAACCAGGATACTGTTGTATCTTTAAGAGAATGTTGTAATTGTGATTGGCTGAGGTTCCTCCAACGGCCATAAGATGGCGCCAGAAACCTGGTTTGTTCTTTTTTGCATTTCCTTTGCTTTCCTTTTGCCTGATCGTCATTCTGCTTGAATTGCTGTGAGTCTTGCAACTATTTGCAAACTCCATTTACTGAACTTTGTTTGTGATACTGGTAAAGAAAAGGACTTCGTTTTTGGATTATCCCTGGACTGATTATTTTGAATACTAGCTGCTTTAATCACGTATGATTTGGACTGTTTGTTGGACTTTGTTTACCCGTTTACAGGAACTAAAACTTACATTTTACTATTCAGTGTATCTGTATGCTGGTTGTGTGTTATTCATCACCACTCTCACTATGTTTCCCTGAGTGCACTCATTCTCCCAACGGGGAATACCTCAACAATGCCTTTCCTTTCCTTCCTGCCCAGGGACTTGGAAGAAAATCCCTTGAGGCCACTTACTCAGCTTGACCTGCTGCTCGCCCTGGAAAAGATGAAAGAGTCCAGAGGAGCCACGTCGGCAACGCTGACAGAGCCAACTTTGGACTGAGTGGATGGGATTCCTAGCCTGGAGAACAAAGATGAACCTCATCGCAATTGCTCTACTGTGGGGTTGTCCAACCTTGGCAACTTGAAAACTTGTGGACTTCAACTCCCAGAATTGTGGGAATTGAAGTCCACAGGTCTTAAAGAGTTGCCAAAGTTGGACACCCATGCTCTACTGTAATGTTAAAGGGAAAGCTAAGTAGGAATGAAGACATTCTTAAGAAAGCAAACGCCGGGATGATTCAACAAGGGAAAAAATGAACACTATGCATGCGGGGTGGATTTTCTCCATCTGAAGGGCACCCCAAAGGTGTTGGGGAGAGAAACTTCCAACATCTGGTGAGGCTGCCTGAGAATTATGGGAGTTATTGGGGTGCTGCAAAATTGGAGAAACATCCCTATAAAGAAAGCAGTCACAAGAATCAAGAGAGCCAAGAGTATCACTCATACAAATTATCAACCCATTATGTTGAGATCTTATTGTCTGAGTAGCAAAGCATTCGTTATCAAGCAGTGCAGCTACTAACTAAAGCTAGCATTAAAGAGGGCATAAACTAACTGGTTTTTTTAATCTCTTCTCTTCCCCCTTTTTCAGTCTTTCCTTAACAAAAGATCATGCAACAAAGCTATAGCAAGTTGTTTCACAGCTGTCACAGCCACCCATTCAAGGTTTTGCACCAACGTATAAGTAAAACATTTAAGAATTGAAAATATGTCCTAGTTTTTTTATTTGTCGTTATTTTATCTGTTATCTCAATCTGTTGAGGGCTTTTAAATCATTCCTGAAAAAAATACTCTTGTTCTAGATCCCCGCAGCTGAGGACCGATATATAGTAGTACCTTGGTACTCAACTGCTTTGAAATTCATTGAATTTGCTACTCAACACATTTAGATGCAAAAATTATGGCCTGGTACTCATTGTTTGTTTGGTATTAGATGCACAAGCTAGATGTCAGCTGCCTTGTAATTCACTACAGAATTCCTTAAGGGAAAAAATTGGTATGGCACTCGTTTTTAGTACTCAGCATGTCTCCCAGAACCAATTAACGATGAGTACTAAGATACTACTTATCAGAATTTTAATTGGCAGCTTCTATACTCCGTTCTACATTTCCTGAAGCTGCTCTTTAAAAATAAACATGCGTCAAGTGGGTGGCCCAAAACTCAGGCTGTTTTGGGCCACACATTCAAAGCACATTTATCCCTTTTCAGAAATAAAATAGATTTTATTTATTAAATTACTATATTGTCTGTCCCCTAGGAGGAGACTGAATTAACTGGGCAATTGCCTGGCAAACAGCAACACTGAAAGGCTAAGATATAATAGAAACATCAGGGCAGATTAAATCCTACTTCACTGAGAGGTGATTTCCAATTTAACATCCTTCATATATAAGCATTTGGAAAGTTCATAATTTTTTCTTCTCTTTTATCTTAGCACATTGCATTGTTTCCTTACATTGATGTTTGTATATGTGTAAAATTATTAAGTCTATGAAATAGCTTAGAATATAGAGGGCAAAAAGAGAAAAAGAAAAATATATTCTTTCAATGTTAATTACAGTTTAGGCTAGAAATGTTGCTAACATATTTTTTTAAACTTCTTAATCTGTACTTGGGAGTAACATTGAAAAAGGACTGCTACAACTCACATCAGAATAATTAGAGGTTTCACTCTTAAGCTGATTACTTATTAAAGTTTTGTTTGTCCTGCGACTTTGCGTGTGCTTGTGTTATGTGTACAAGGATAATAATTTCAATTAATCTTAGTTTTTTATTTCTTAGAGAATGCCTCTTAAGTTTTGGAGAGTCCACTAAGCCTGTTAAATGTTCCAATCACTGTTTCTGTTTTCCCCCCAGCCAGAAACAGAATTTAACATAGCTCAAGTTTATTTATTTATTTTATTTATTTGGAGAGTACATCTTACAATCGAGTATTTGAAGATTTTTCCACTTCAAAATGCAGGAAATCATGTGAAACATTTGTTTAAAGCGTGGTCAGAGATGGCTCTGGGAGAGCTCAGAAAAGAGGTTAAGTGGAGGTGCGGGTAACTTATTTGTTCTCAAGTAAGAGAAAATGAGAACTTGTGGATACAAGGATGATACTAACTTCCTCAAGTATTCCCCTTCTGTTCCTAAGTTCTGAGTTTCAGCTTCATTGTTTGCTGTTTGCTGCCATCTTGTTGTCAGAAGGCTTTGGATGTTGTAAATGGAGTCCGGCCTAAATGTTTGGGGAAAGATTTCCTTACAGCAGGGGTGTCATGTCCCTGTCGAAATCTGATTCCGAGGGGGAGGCCAAGTGGGAGTGTGGCTCCAGTGGCTGTGGAAGAAACTGGGGAAGGGAAGTCCAGGTGGGCAGAGCAGGGGAGAGGTAAGAGCAAGGCAGAGGGAATTCAGAGGAAGACCCACCCTCTCTTCATCCTAGGGTATGCAAGGAGGAACGGAGAAGGAAGCAACGTGAATTGCATGGCTTACAGGGGAGGAAAGGGCCCTGATTCCCTTCATTAGCTGTAGCTGGGAACACAGTGTTTAAAAAGGAAAGCTGCGCACAGCAACTTGTTGGAAGAAAATTGTGAGTTATCTCTTATTGTCGAGGCTTATCTGGGTTCCTGGCGTCTTCCCAACTGTGTGTGTGTTTTGCTGGTCTTTCAAGTCTGCAATTCCTTTTCCTGCCCTGTCCAGTTAATTGCTGCAGCATGGTTTGCGTGGATATTTCTTTAGTTTAGATGTACTTTGTTTTCGGACTGAATTTCCTCCACTTAAAGACTGTTTTGGGGAGAGTTTTTCTCCAGCTGAAAGTAACTGGACATTGGGGGCAAAGTTGGAGGTATTAAAGCGACTTTTCTTACATATGTAACTGTGTTGCCTTTGTGCCACACCTGGGTCATCAGAAGGGGTATCCAACCTTGGCAAATTTAAGATTTGTGGACTTCAACTCCCAGAGCTGACTGAGGAACTCTGGGAGTTAAAATCCACAAGTCTTAAAAGTTGCCAAGGTTGGAGACCCCTGCCTTACAGCACCTATTGCCTTTCCTGCCTAAAATTCAGTCTGCCAAATACCAGGTTTCTGCAGAATATATGTGCTTGCAAGTCTTACCTTGGGGCTTCAAGATGAGAAGGCGCAGTTCCTTTGGGGGATTAAGCCCAAACTCTGTTAAAACCACCAAAATCCTCCCGCTGAGCCAATGAAATAGGAAGCAGGAACTAGACACCATCGCAGAAGTCTGTGGAGATTCTCAAGTCATCCAGGTCATTTTGCCCCAAAGATGCTTTTTCTAGAGGCAACTGGACTTTCTTATTTTTTTCTTCGAAGAAGCTTCTTGGATGAGATATGAAATGTTTTCAAAAGAAAAAAACCAGCAAGTCCAGTTGCCTCCTGCAAAAGCGCATTTGGGACAACGATGACCTGGATGACTGAGAATCTCCATAGACTTTTAGCTATACAATCTGGGATGAACAGCCTTGGAATGGTCTGGGGAATGGATTTCCAAAGGAAAAAAAATAGCAGACTACAGGAACCATTTGTACCACTCAGGGTGACCCTGAGGACACAAATAAACCTCCAAGTGCTTCAACTACCCTCTAAAAGGATGCAAATGACCAGCTGCCAGCAAGGAATATAAATCCCTTCCATTCCCCACCATCCTGTCAGAGCTGAAGAAGCTTCTTGGATAAGAAGCAAAACATCTTCAGAGAAAAAAACAAGAAAGTCCAGTTGCCTCCCGAAAAAGCCCTTTCGGGGGACCATCGTAGAAGCAATCCTAGATTCTAGATTAAGAAACTGGCTGGGGAACTTGTGGTTGTAACAGGCTGCAGGGTAGAACTTGGTCCAGAAAAAAGATCTTTTAGAAATGCCTGCCCGCCCAAATATTTATTTATTTATGAAACTTATGGGGTCACCCATCTTGAAGAATGCAACTCTGGATGGCTTATATTAAATAAAAAAAATTGAACAATAAATCAACTTCAGTTTAAAATCTCAACACTAGCAATTAATAGGCAATTGGGAACTTCATAGCCTTGATGTGGGATAATCACGATTCCAATACCGGTGAATTGTACTTTGAGGAAACCAGAATTGAGCCTAAGTCTTCTGATTCAAAAGAATTCTGTAACTCATATACTATCAGATGCAGACACAAACAAAAACTATGATTGTTAGTTAAAAGTATGATGGGATATGCACCCTTTCCTCCAGGAAAACATGCATTATGACATCACAGGACACGTAGGTAGTGCTGTCAGGGTTCTAGAATGACCAGCTTGCAGCCTGTGAAAGAACGCTAAATAGTTGTATCCAAGACAACCCGGGGAAAGATCAAGTACCTGCTGAGGGGTTTGGGGTCCTAAAACTTGATTGCAAGTTAGTTTTGGGATATGTCCATCAACAGTGCATGGAAGTAGATACAGTAAGCAGCCATTATCTTGTTTTAGCCTCAAATATTTCTTCATCTTAGGGTCAGGTATATTGAGTGACAAAGAGAAAATAAGGTTTTCAACCAACCAACCAACCAACCAACCTTCAGGTTCCAGAAGAGCAAAATTGGCCTACTCTAAAAAGAAGACCTGGGTTTTTCCAAAGTAGTTACAAGCTGCCTTTAAATGCAACACTCCCCAAATCACCAAATGCCATCTTGGCAAGGGTGTCTCAACAATTTCATGAGAGATGGGCTGTGCTGTGATGCTGCAGTTATCTCTGTAACACAACAGCAGGTCTTAAGGGCCCACCAAGGCGGCATCTTGTCCAGAATGACCAAACCAGAAATCCAAGCTCTCCTTGGTAGGAACAGAAACATACTCCTCACTCAGGGTTTGACTCTGGGTGGACACAAATGCTTGGTCATACGAGACAATCTGTATACCGATGCCCAACAGCATACCATGGACCTCCGAACCAAGGTCTACCATGGGGACAAGAAGGACAACTGCACCCATGCCATCGCTGTGGTCTTGGTTAATCCGGTTTGCCTAATCCTCATTGGGATGCAGGGAATTCAGGGAGGGACACTGAATCTGAAAGCTTTCCAGATAGCAAAGTGCATCGAAGAGCATTTACGCCAATAAATACGCAACAAGCTTCTACCGTCAGGTCAGCTACGGGCTTCTCTTTTATTAGTCCAGCTTGCAAAGGATGACATTTTTCTTTCCGTCCTGTTGAAGAGCGTGCAGGAGAAGTGGATCCTGGTCACTTCTAAGGATGTCCAAGTCCAGTGGGACTGATGTTTCAGATCTGATAATCTTGAACTTCATCTTTGAATGAGTACTTCAGAATAAGCTTCCGTCTACAGCTCCTGGGGGCAATAGTAGCTCTCTGGAAGGTCCGACCAATGACTGGATGACATTTGAGTCTTTCCAAGAACGTCTCAAATCCGCTCACCTGTCATCCTCAGCGATCCTGTTTCCTAGAAGCCACCCTGGATTTACTCAACAGATCTTCTAGTCCTGCTCATGTACAGTACACAAACACTTTTCAAATCCATTCCTGCTTCGTTTTCTATTTCTGATACTGCCAGCTGTTTGATTAATAGGCTTTCTGAAAACATTTATAAAGAGATTCCCCCCAAATACTGTTATTTTGCAGCCTATAATCTCTCTTTGCAATTTGTTTACTTCGGTCTTGCTTTGTGATTTGTTTACTTCTACTCTGGATATCCGCTAAGGCTTATTGCTGATGGGAAATTTAAAATGGAAATAAATGGGCCTTTGTAAGGGGAAATAGCTTAATTCTACCACGACGCTGGCAAGAAGGCTCTTACTTTACCGGATCTTTTCTCCTTGGCTTATAATAAAGAGCAGTCCCTGTTCACTGCCCTTTGAAGGCTCTTCGCTCAAGGAAACTCGGACAAGGTTCTCATTGCCAAATATCAATGAAAATATCAGCAGAGGTGTAGAGGAACCCTGTAATGGACAAAGGGTTTCTCTCTAAGCCATAATTGCTGAATTAATTGCAAAGTGTGGTTTCCATTAAAACAGTTTGGTTTGCCCCAGCTTTGTTAGATTCCAATGCCTTTTTTCTGTTTCATGGTGGTCTATTGTGTTAATATTGCCTTCTGTAAGCAAACCAAACGAAAGATTTGTTGATTTTAAAAAAAATCATTCTGAAAGGCAGAGAAGAAAAATGTCCATATAATAAGGGTTTTTTATTTATTTATAAGCAGCTAGAAGGGACAGGCACAGTTTTGATTCTTACAGTTCCTGCTCCTTATCTACAATTTTTTCTTCTCCGCTTATCTCCTTCCCCCCGCTAATTTTCACAAAATATCTGTGGCTCCATCGTCCAAAAGCTGCTTTTGTATTGAGCCCCACGTTCTCTGTCATTTTCAATTAATTAATATTTGCACATGGTTAACACGCTGCTTTATGTTGTCCTCTTTATAAGGAATATTGTAGGTGGTGACCTGGCTGAGATTGAGGGAGGAGTCAAATGCATCATAAGTTATGAGTTCCTGCATGTCCACAAGAGATCTAAATCCAGCCCAACTTGAATTCTTATCTCCTGCTCTTTTCCACTGACCGTTAGTTGGCCAGTATGTTATGGAGAGCTTAAGCTTGCAATAAACCTTTATACTCCTCTGAACTGCTTGTCTCTCCTGGTTTCCCAGGTGCTTATGTCAAATCTTACTGTCCTGCCTGGGTGTCCACTGACAGGTGAGGTGAAAATGTCTTTCCCGTTTCCTTACCTCGTAGCTTCAAAGTGCAAACCTATTCAAATTCCTTGGACTGTACACACAGAATCCTTCTAGTGTCTGTTTTTATTTATAGATATACAGGTGATAAATAAATGCCAACAACTTGACCACAAAAGTTGTTGCTCTCTCCAATTTGGTTAACCAAGGTGATCAAATAAAGGTACCCAGCTGAAAAAAAAAAGAGACTTAACAGAGAAGTCACCTTTGTAGTCAATGATACCATCAGCATTCTCAGCTTTATGATTTTCCAACTGCTGTTAAGGAACAAAAGCCCAAGGAGCATGAATACTTTAATTGCTGCTCTCTAAAAATATTTAAACAGTTAATCGACGTGACAGAAAAGCGTGATAGAGAACAAAGGTAAGCAAATCACAACTTTCTTGCCATCACGCCTGGGTCCAAGGCAGAGTGAGAATAGTTTTAAAGCAGACTATCGAATTTAATAGGCGTTTGTGTGAGAGGGAGGGAGGGAGGGAGGGAGGGAGGGAGACAGAGAGACAGATGGAAGTGTGGGGAGAGAGATTTGGGCTATAATGGTCCGAATAGGCTTTTCTGATGACAAAATTGATTCCTGGTTCAGGAACAAGGGGAACTGCCATCCATGACTTCCTGTCCCCCCTGCCACTGCAGGAATCTTTCGCCTTAGGACCACGGATCCAGCGATGCTTTTCTGCTTCAAGCAGAGGGAACGAAAGCCAGATTAAAAGCACGAGACCCTTCCTCTTTGCCTTCTCCATTTATAAAAGAAGCCTGCTGCTGCTTTTATCACACGGAGCATTATAAATACGAGACATGGCAGAGCTTGTCAGCTAGATAATTATTTTCCCCCTGGCTGTTCAGAGATAGGATGAAAGTAGCCTTAAGGAAAAAAAAAAAAAACTTCACCAGATGCTGAATGAGCTGGTCTGGACCAGGATTCTGGGAGTTGAAGTCCTCCAGGCTTAAAGTTTGCAGGGTTGGAGACCCCTGGCCTGGACAACAAGAGATATATGGGGGTATCTCACTGCAGAAGACAGTCTAATCTCATGTGTTTCCCCAAACCTCTCACACCATCACCCCCCCCCCCCCTTTTTTTCCTACTGGTGTCGTGCGGTAGTTAAGATCCAGAAGGCAAAAGAGAAAAAGGCACCACCGGCCCGATCTCCTACAGATGCTCGGAATGGCGACATCTTCTCCAGCATCTGCAGGGAAGAGCGGCCAAACAGCTTTAACCTTGGCTCCAAGGCTCACACCTTCCCAACCTCCCTTTGGGATAAATATCACCGGGTAGTGTGCGCAATTAAGTCATTAAAAGTCGTTACAAGGGGGCAAGTCATATCCTGTGCGGAACTGGGAGGAAGGACGCAGCAAGCCCTCGGCTTCGAACCCTTTCCCCTACCTTCAGAGATTCTGGAGCTCCAGATAATCTCCGACAGTTAAGATGTCCATCGGGCTCGTCCCCGTGAATGTTTGCCCATCTCTTCTGGCAGAGTCTTTCCGTCTTCGTCGGCTTAGGAACAGGCACTTTTGGAGAGCCCAAGTCACTCTTGTTTAGGCAGAACCACCGGCTACCCTGGCGAGGAGCTTTGCGGCGGCTCTATCGATGCTTGTAGGCCAGCAAGGATTCGAAATCTGGAGCACAAACGAGCTTGTGCCTCACGTGACCCAAGACGATCATCTCGCCGCTCCGATTGTCCCCAATGCTGACTGACACCAGTTCCTTTGAGAGACCAAGAGAGAAGGACAATTACTCCAAAGCCCCCCTTTTCCCCCCCCAAAAAGTAACGCAAGCCAACAAGACCTAATCAAGGCATCTTTGCAGGTTGGAGGAAGCAAACAGATTCTGGGAAACAGATTTTTGAGTGTCAGCATAAGCCGCTCATTAGACGGTCTCAGCCAGGTGCTCTACCTGCTGATCCCCCCCCCCCACCTGTAGAAGAAATGCAAACAATTCCCAGTCATTTAAACGAGGCTGGAGCCAAACAAGGAAAAAAAAACAAAATCTCGCTCTATGCTGAAAGATCGGGACTGATAATATCAGAGTATTTAAAAAAAAACACACACACAAGAAGAAGACTTGCTTAACTACTCACTCCTTTCCTGTACCAGTAAGACTTAATTATTTCTTAACCTAGACCAGAGGCCCCCCCAAACTTGGCAACTTTAAGACTTGTGGACTTCGACTCCCAGAATTCTCCAGCCAGCTGTGCTCTGTCCACCGGTCTTAAAAGTTGCCAAGGTTAGACGCCACTGACTTAAAGAGATGCTTTGTGGAAAACCTGCGGAGAAAGTCAGGGCTATCTAGTGCCAGTTGGAAGAGCAGGGGACCAAACTGGGTATATCCGTTAAGATAACGGATGGAAACTGACCAAGGGAGAGATTCAACCTGGAAATAAGGAGGAATTTTCTGACAGGGAGAACAATCAACCGGTGGAACGGAAGTTGCCCACAGAAGTTGTGGGAGCTTCATCAGTGGAGGCTTTCAGGGAGAGACTGGACTGCCATCAGTCAGAAATGGTGTAGGGGGGTTGGACTAGATGACCTGCAAGGTCCCTTCCAACTCTGACAATCTAATGATATGCTCTGACAATACAATGTATTCTCCCATCAGTCAAAAGTCTATGCTAGAGTTCTAGGATATCTTTTGAGACAGCCATGACCTAGATGACCGGGTACCTCCATAAACCTTTAGCTATGCTCTTTGGGATGCGCACCCTTTGAATCGTGTGGAAGTACAAACGGACTTCCCCCAAATTGCAGACTACAGGAACCATTAGCGTCACTCAGGTGACCCTGAGGACACAGATAAACCTCCAAGTGGCCTCAACGACCCTCCAAAAGGATGCAAATGACCAGCTTTGTCTGCAAGGAGCATCAATCCCTTCCATTCCCCACCATCCAGCCTTAGAGCTGAAGAAGCTCCTTGGATGAGAAGCGAAACGTCGTCAAAGAAAAAAAAAAACAAGAGAGCCCAGTTGCCTCCTGAAAAAAGCACCTTTGGGTCTCCCATCAGTCTTGATGGCTATTAAAGTCCCTAAGCCTTGACCCCACCCTAAGAACGCGGATATTTCCGAATCATCTCAACCGCAGTTTCAACGGCAGCGCTTGGGACGAGGGGTCACTCGGGCCCCTTTTCTCGCCGCCCGTTTCTTGCAAGTGCTATTCCCAGACTGCGCGGCCTCCGACCGCTTTGTGCTTGACAGGGCCTGCGAAGGGGGGGCCCACGTCCCGCAAGAGCAAGGCCTACCTGAAGAAAGGAGCAGGGTGTTCCCGTGGTTATGTCGAGGGTCACCTGGCCGAGAACAAGTTGCACCTTTCCTGACTTGCGGATCAGCAGCTTCCCCACCTGCCCCTCGGAGAGGTCGCCCAGGGTGCAGGTGTTCTCCGCTTCCTGGGTCTCCTGGGGAAGGAGAAGTGGGCAAGTTTAGGAGCTGGGAAGAGATTCCCAAGGCGAGAGCACTTGCAAACTCCCGCTCTGCTCTCCCTTAAAACGTCACGGCAACCCTGTTTTCTGGCGCCTGGAGCGGAATGCAAAGGTGTCTACAGAACAAGGGTGTCCAACTCAAGGCTCGAGGGCCGGATCCTACCTGCGGGGGTGCTTAAAACTGGCCCTTGGGGCCGGTCTGGAAATAGGAAAGGACCTGTCTGCAGTGCCTTTGGGGGCCAAAATGAGGGCAGCCAAAAACCTGCGCCCCGTTTTAGCCGGCAGGGTGCTGCAAGAGGCCCCTGTCCCTTCTGCCCCCACCCACCCAGCAGAGGAGAACTATAATGCGGATCCGGCCCTCAAAGAAATCCAGTTTGACGCCCCTGCTCTAGAAGCAAAACAGCCAAAATCATTATTTTGGGAAGCTTCTTTACCTTCCACGAAGTATAGGACAATTATGCCAATGAAGCATAAAGGGGCTCAGTGGCTAAGACGCTGAGCCTGTCGATCGGAAAGGTCGGCAGTTCGGCAGTTCGAATCCCTAGCGCCGCGTAATGGAGTGAGCTCCCGTTACTTGTCCCAGCTTCTGCCGACCGAGCAGTTTGAAAGCATGTTCAAAATTGCAAGTAGAAAAATAGGGACCCCTTTGGTGGGAAGGGAACAGCGTTCCGTGCGCCTTCAAAGGCGTTGAGTCCTATCGCCACATGACCACGGAGACGTCTTCAGGCAGCGCTGGCTCTTTGGCTTTGTAACGGAGATGAGCACCCCCCACCCCCCCCCAAGAGCCGGAAATGAGTAGCACGTATGTGCGAGGAGGGGAACCTTTACCTTCATGTCGATAAAAACCCAACTCTGGGAAAACGTCTAGGTTCAAGCATTGCCATCCCAACTCAATATATATAACCAACAGTTAGACCCACTGTTCTTTTTCTACAGAAACGTCAACAACCTGGCTTCTATCTGGCAGACTTCCAGACCTCCATTTGCAGCCACCAACACCATGCGCACTGTAGTAGCACAGGGGGTCTCCAACCTTGGCAACTTGAAGACTTGTGGACTTCAACTCCCAGAATTCCCCAGCCAGCATAGCTTTAGGAATTCCCACCTTAGGAATGTGGCAAGTCCGAAACCCTTCCCTCCTAATACCAGCAAAGAGAACGGAAGAAAAAGAATATATAAAAAAGCTAAATAAAATGGTTTACACATAAGTCAAATTTCAGGGTTGACAGGCTGCCCCCCTCCCTCTTTTCAAAGAAACTCCTTGCCCTTGGTGGGATCAAAAAGGCAACGGTCTCTTGCTAAGGAAATATCTTGCAGCAGAATTTTTAATTCCTAGTTAGTCCAGTAGCAACTGGAAGCCTGGGAGGCTTCAACTCCCAGAAGTCCACAAGTCTTCAAGTTGCCAAGGCTGGAGACCCCTGCAGTAGCACCTGCAGATTCCCGCTGCTTGTTCCAGCAGGACACGACTCCTACCTGGGTCTTCTCCTGTTTTATCACCATCATCTGCCCATCCTCGTTCTGCACTTCTGCTTTCAGCGGCTTAGTGTCCTGTGTGGGCGGCTGTCCCGGGAGAGTATCTGGCAGCTGCAGGAAGAGCAACTCTTCCTCCTTGGAGAGACTCAACCTGGGCAGCAGTTCCGCCAGGGAGACATCGTGAGGGAAGGGAGGAGGGGCTTTGGTGGGCGCTGGAGCCTGTGCACACACCGTCTCCTCTTCATCGTGTTCTTCTTTCACTGCGGGGGTGGGGGGAAGAGAGAGAGAAAAAGAGAGAGAGGGAGAGATTATCCAATATTTATCCCCTTTATTGTCAATTCAATCTTGCCACCTATTTTTATTTTATGTATTCTCCCCATTTTACTCTCTTAAACCCAATATATAACAAATAAAAAAAACTAGGATCAGTATAGCCATTTTTAGTTAATACCTCCTTTATTAACAACAATAATCTCCTATTTACTATTATATATTTTATTATAATATACAGTATTATATATTATAGTATTATATACTATTTTATATGCATATATTTCTTCCCCCCACCCCCAATCGGGTTCCACACGGTATTCTTTCCTTATTGTACAATAAGTCTTATATTTATTCCAAAAACATTCATAAAACCATTTCATATTTCACATTTTGTTTCTATTTAACCAATTGTAGATATGAGTAACATATATTTATCCCATCTTCTATAGCAGCTACGGGGCTGCTTCTGAAGACCAGAACACCAAATGACTAAATGCTCCTTTAGTAACCCCCTGCTATCGTACACTCCCCAATTCTTCTCTTCTTGCAAGAAATTAAGAGGGAACAGGCTCCTCAGGGCTGCACAATGCACAATGCCCACTTTATCCGTTCGCTCACCTGTTCCAGGTCAAGGTGAGCCACCTACCTTTTACCGAAGGTAAACCTGTCTCCAGCTTCTCCTCTTTATGGCTGGCATTCAACGGCTTGCTGTCCTCTTGATCATCCCCTTCTTCCTTGAAAAGCCAACCAGAATGGGCCAGAGGCAGCTGGACTGGCTTGTTTCGAATGTCGTTTTTCAAGCCTGGGTCATCCAGGAACTGGGACCAAAGAACGAGAGAGAAAACGGCAGTTAAAAGAAAGACTATTTCACATCCTATCCCATGAGTCTGTTTTTTGGACAAATGAGGATATGTGATTTTTAAAAACCGTTCCTACTTTTTCAACGTAAGCGGGCCAGTTGTCTGGAATCTCTTAGCCTCTGAATTGAATGAATAAGCCCACCAACCAATAAAGAGGGTTGAGGTAGTTTGTGATCCAATGTCAGGTGAGAAATGCGGTTTTTACTTTGTTGAGGGAATAGCTCCCTTACTTCAAGCTGCATCTGCTGCTCCAAGCACAAAGCTTTGCAAAAATCTCTCGAAGGTAAATGCAAAACGATGTTCTGAACTTGAGAAAGCTTTGTTTGAAACATTTTGCCAAAAAGTTCAAACCAGTCTATTTTGCAACGAAGAGTAAAACACTTCATGACATGTTGTGCTCAAAACTGTTCTGAGACTAAACAATTTGCACGTTTCTACTTCAAGACCTAACAGTTCATTTGTTCTGGGAATATCATGCTATGTAAACAAAGGAAGTGCACATGGTTATCTCTTATTCAGAGTTTAGCCTGTATTTCATCAACAACTGGCAATGTATCAATAGGTGGATAAATGTTTCCACAGGCACAAACTTCCTAAACCTGCCCTTCATTCTTAAAGCTGAGATCACAAAGGGATAGAGAAACAACTATAGGTGGAAAAAAAATTAACAGAAAAATGTCATCTTGTGTAAAAACCACAAATGTTGTGTTAAAATCAGATTACAATGAACAGAAACATTCTTATTTTAAAGAACGTATTTAAGATAAACATCCTTAACTCCAGCTAGCAGTAGTGCCCACCAATGCCTTAAAAGTTGAGTCCTAACATAAGATAAAGTCCGTATTATTTCGGGAGTTGATGGATGGTAGCCATCCTCAAACTCACATCATCTTTCTCCAACATGCGCAAGATCTTCTTGGTCTCCTCATCCGTCTCCCTCTTCTCTTTCTTTATGTTGATGATGTGAGATGGGCCAAAATCAGACATATCCACGGACTTATCCCAGGTACCTGCACGGAAAGCAAGAACAGCATCGCTGCAAATGGCACATCTCATAAGGCAAATTCATGGTGGCTGGCCGAGAAGACCCTGGATGGCCAAGTCACCGACGCTAGACGTTTCATTAAAAATAAGCCCCAAAAGGCTTTATTAGAATCAGCCATGTTTATGCAAACAAGGAAAGAGAAGAAAAGTCAAGGAGAAGGAATAAGGAAAAAGAGGATTCTGGAGAACACTGTGATTAATTTATGATCAATGGAACTGCTCTGCTCATGCAACACACTGGAAACACATTAACCGTTTTCTAAGATGGACCGTTTTCTAAGGTTTGACCAAGAATTTTTGGGTAGAGGAGCAACACCCGTTCACCCAAGGACGAATTAAGTACCAAGCCTAACCCAGCTCCTTGTTACATTCTGGCAGTTTTTACCAACCAGAAAAATAGGAGTCCAATCTATAGGTGTCAAGAGTTGATGTCAGAATCTTGTCCACTTCACTCCAAATACCCCACACCGAACACTGCCTTCTCTGATGGACTTGCCCAACCAGTTTGGATGATGAGGATTTCTACACCAACCCTCAAGATGCACTAAGTACTTTATCACAGCTTACTTAAAAGCTCAGCTACAACACACTCCCATTTTACTAATTTATCCCATCCTGTTTCACAAGTCTACTGTGATCCACCCTGCGTACCGTAATGGCTGAATGGGTGGGAACCAGCGGGCTAAGAGTCTCGAGGAAAGCTTGATTGAGTTCACAGTGAAAATTAAAAAGCCCAAACAGTTGCCCTCCGGAATGCCCCAACTTAAATCATTTCCAAACCTTTCTTCCTCATCATTTCTGCTGGGCCTTGCTCGAAGATGGAGTGCGACTGAATAACTTCGGGCCTCCCTCTGTTTCGTCCATGACTTTCCCTCTGTCGATCTCGATCACGGTCCTTCTTCTCTTTTGTGACAGAAAGGTCCTCCTTGGGCCTAAAGAGAGGGGAGGGAAAAAAAAAACAGAGCAGAAATATTCAATTGCTCAATGAGAGCTGCAGATCTCTGACTTGAGGACTTAAAGCAGAGGCCTCAAAACTTGGCGACTTTTAAGACTTGCGGACTTCAACTCTCAAAATTCTCCAGCCAGCATTGCACAGAATTCTGGGAGTTGAAGTGCACAAATCTTAAAAGTTGCCAGGTTTGGGGATCCCTGACTTAAAGCTTCCAAAATATTCAGAAGGCCCTTTTCATCAGTAGCTTTGTAAGGACTTTGTGGGTGAACCTCTTTCAGACATGCAAGAACAACGAAGGATAGGGCTTCCCGTGACAGAATTTCACACTGAAGATGGAGGTTGTGACCAAAAGGTTTATATGTGGTTCTGCTAATAAAGAGGGGTCAGAGAGCAGGGAGAATGGCTGGGAATAGATAGCTGAAAGTTGCAGGTGACTGGGGGGAGAGGAGTGGAATAAGGAAAGGAAAAAGAAAAAAAACTATATAAATGAAAAGATCAACAAAAACAACTTCTGAAAAAAGACTCAAGCATTCTAAAGGTCTGTAACTTTCCACAATATCACCACGTAGTTTTAACTGTTTATTAACAACTGATTTCTTGGGCAAATGAGAAACACACTACAGTACCTACCCCACCACCCCATCCACGCATAAAAAGCTACAACTATATTATCCAAAGAGATCAAATAAGACAGCAGATAAGCACAGTGCAGGAACTATGCTTTGGTAAGGGCAGTAAGATTTTAAACTACTGTGTGCTAATTTTTCCCCAACTAACAACTGAAGAAATTGCCCAAATAGTGCAAAAGGTATAGGTTTCATTAACAGTCCAAATAATGTTAAAATATAGCATCTCAGGAGGTGGTAGACAAGGGAAGGCTTTAGAGTAGCTGAGATCTAACAAGCATTATAAACCTGAACCATAGGATAACTTTAGTCTAAGGCTGAAATCTCCCATTTAGACAGATCTTCTAAATGATCATTTATTGATAATTAAGCAGTTCATTTATATTAATACATTCCATGAAAACAGCATTGAAAGGGAACTTACTCTTCTTTGATTTTCCTGCTAATAATGTTAGGGGCAAAGGTTTTCTAAAAAAAAAACCAGGAGACAAGAGAACAAGCATAATTAGGCACAATGTTTGGCTTGTGACATACTTCAGAGTACAGTGTGTGCTAAAATTGAAACTCCAATACAGCTACCCATCTCATTTTGATGTGACACTAGACACAACAATAAGATACATAAATATACTTAAGATTCTTGGGAAGAGAATATGTTTAGCATTCTTCACAAGTTGCATTGCTTGGAGAAGATACTTCTTTTAATGTTAAGGGGAAATGCACAATAAAAATATTTTTTTAAAAAAATGTTTCCATGTTTAGGAGCCACAAATATTTTGTATTCCTTATCATTACAGTCCTAAGCTCTTGGCTTCAAGGTATGCCTTCAGCTTAATCAAAACTGACGTGTTCTCTTTGTTCTCTTTCCAAAACAAATGCCAATATCTCGAAATATTTGAATACCAGCATCAGAAGACCTCAAGTAAAACTGACTACTCCATATCATAAAAAATGTGGTGTTTACATATAGAGTCAAATACCCTTGACATAACCAACCACTTCATAATCCACCAGATAGCTTGGTTATTGCATAACCAATTCAAAGCAACAAAAGAAACATTTAGAATCCAGAGAATAGCCTGTTTCTGATTTTTTAAAAGTTAATAGATATCGCTGCTACCAAACTGAACGAGATCAACGTTTAATGAAATAAAACTCCAAGGTCAGCAATCTCCCATCTCTTATGATTTAGTATTCCTCACGGCTCACGGCTCTTTTACCTTAATAATGACCAAAAGTGGTTTTGCCAACTAGAGCAATCTATGCTCATGCAGATAAGCATCTGTGCCAAATATTTAGAAATAAAGAGATCCTGCTTTTCTTGAAAAGAAGTGGCCTTATCTTGCAATTAAAAGTCAGCATGTTAAGTTTTAATATGCTAGTATTTTACTGAATGGAGATTTGGTGACAATTGTCTCTCTGAGCTAAGCAACTCGTCAACTCTCATGTCACATGAGGCCTGGAACAAGGAATGATGCAGAAATGATGTCTCAACTGATGATTCCGCAGAAGAACTAAAACATTAGAAGAGTTCCACACAGGCAATACTTCACCTCTACTGGGGACAAAACATGCAGTAAAAAGAGCAGAACGGGTGGGACTGGAACTGTTTTCAACAGAAATAAGCTTGGAAAATATAGAAAACATAAGAAGCTCATATCTCAAAGAAGATTTAGTGCACATACAATCCATGCACTTTTAAACTTCTTTAAAAAAAAACCGTATCAACACATTGTTTACCATTTCGCAAGAAAAACATGAACGTTATAGTGCAGCCTCAAGTTTGCAATGGTTAGATGAAAGGAGAGTCTTAAAATTTTACCTCCAACCGGGGAGGGAAGAAAGGGGAGAAAACCTTGGTTTGTTTGCCTATGTGATTTAGCCCTACTTACTTTTCAACACTGTTCCATGCACTTTAACCCCCAATGTTCTATGCAGCTCCCACAATTGCCACCCCTATCCTGAGTCTATATAGGTAGCCCTTGACTTATCACCACAACTGAGTCCAAAATAACTGTTGCTACTACCATGTTAATGTCAGAAGCACCTTCCAAGGCACTTCCGGGTTGAATGGACTAGCTGGTGACATCACCATCTTCCAGGGGATGCTTGAGAAAGCTTCTTCCGTGTCCCTACTATGCATACTTTCAAACTGCCAGGTGGGCCCACGTTGGGACAAATTGACGGGAGCTCATCCCATCACACGGCTAGCTCTCCGTTTTTGAACGGCTGAGCTGTCCACCTCTCAATAGTCTTCTAACTCAATGTTCTAACTCCATGAATGCAAACCAGCACCCAAATTTTGGTCATGTGACCATGGGGATGCTGCAAGTTTCAAATGTGAAAAAAAAAGTCCAGGTGTGTGTGTGTGTGTGTGTGTGTGTGTGTGTGTGTGTCACTTTTTCCAGTGCTATTGTAATTCTGAATGGTCGCTAAACAAGTGAATTGTAACCTGTACAATTTCTAAGGAGGCACAGTAAGTCCAGCCCATGAACGAGGCAGCCTTAATTTGTCCTATTGTGTGAATGTGTGTTTTTGGGTGTCAACTCCTGGCAATTGCTGGTCCATGTAATTTTCTTGGCAGTTTTGCCACTGCCTCTTTCCTAAGACTGAGAGAGAGGGGCTGGCCCAAGATTATCCAGCTGGGTTTGTGCCTAAGCAAGACTAGAACTCGCGGTCTCTGTTTCTTGGCTTGGTGTGTTCACCACCATACCAAACAAACTAACTAACTAACTAACTGGACTAACTAGGAATTAAAAACGCTGCTGCAAGATACTTCCTTAGGAAGAGACCCTTGCCTTTTTGACCCCACCAAGGGTCAGATCTCGGGAGCGGATGGAGGGCAGGCGGCCTGCCGAGATTGGCACGGGAGTCCTTCTCCCTATTAACCCTCGAGCAGCAGCAACTGAGGGCCGGGCGCTCTCTGGATCGCCGCCACTGGACGTTCCTTCGGACATCTTGCAGGACCTGCCGAAGAGAAGAAGAGTTGGCTGGGAAAAAGAAAAAGGAAAAAAAAAAACCACCCTTCAAACAAGACAAAACTTCTCCGTTGCCAACCACGGTGTGTAGGACGATGGGTCTCCATTCTCCACATGCACCTTTCCTCTACCCCATGTGGGCTGGGGATGATGGGGTTTGTAGTTGTGGAACAGGAGGCAGCCCATACACCCACCCACCCCCGAGCTGGGCTGGCACCATTCCCAGGTGTGGAGCCAACGCCCTTCCCCACACATTTCCTTCAGTCCTGTGGTCTTTACCAGGGACTAAAGATCCCATCGTCCCCACCCACCCCTAGGGTACCAGTGGAAGGGGGGTGCAATGGTCCCACCCCTCAAGAAGGGCGCTGCGGAGAATGGGACCCGTCACCACATGCGCCGGGAAGGTCCAGGGTCCTCTTCTGAGCTAAAGAAAGGAGTGGAGGCCACCAGGAGAAGCACCAGGGAATGTCAGTCGAACCCCCCATTGCGGGCTATCCGCAAAAGCTTCGGCACTGTCTCCCCCTTCCCGTTCATGTCGCCCTTACGGAAAGCGCCCCCGTCACCTGGTCTCCTCTCTCGGCCGACCAAAGGACGTCTTCCACCTCCGCGGGCCGTTCAGGTTATTCCGCCCCCGGCCCCGCAAACTCCTCTCAGGGCGCATGCGCACGCCGTTCAACCGCCATCTTAGCCTACACTCCCACGTCGTTTTACACGTTCTCGCGAAGGGGGGGGGGGGTCGTCCGCCATGTATGTCGCGGGCATGGCTTCTTCGCCCCGCCCCTTCGACAGGGGGAAAGCCGGCAGGGAAACCGGCCATCTTTGTCGCGGGCGGATGCTTGTGCTTACATTGAATGATGGAGAGGGTGTCATCCCGTTTGGAGGAAGGATACGAAAGTGGGAGCAAAGTGACGTCATTTTTTTTTTTAAAAAGGATTGACTTTACGTTTCAAAGCACGCGTTTAGTGCAGTCCCCTACACCCAATCTCCTACACGGATCTAATAGTTGTGTTTATTTACTTATTTAGAGAATTTATTAGACAATTTACACTTTCAGTGACCCTAGGCAACTTACAATTTTTTTTAAAAAAATTCCAATATACAAAGAGTAAATGCCATAACTCCCCACCCTCCTAACATTCTTTTTGCATCTTATGTCCTGTTACATTTAATAGGATGTACCTCCGAAGGAGCAATATGTTCAGCTTCATTAGGGGTTTGAATAAAGCCAGAAAGCAGGTTATAAACAGATTAATGGATCCATTTGTGGACTTCATTCAACCACCAGCACTCATTCAGAATGCTTAGAATAGTCTTACTTAAATGCCCACTTTTAGAAATAATGGAGGACCCCAAAAGAGCTTTTGTCTGTATGGATCATTTCTATCAATATTCAAAATTAAAACAGATGGATTCATAGAATATTGACTCTCATACCAAGAGCACTCAGACATATACAATGCTTAACAGCCCTCTACATGGTTTACAGAATTAGCAGATTGCCCCCAACAATCTGGGTCCTCATGTAAAAAACAACAATATTAAACACATCAGCTATTAGCATTTTTTTCATGAAATAAATAAATATATATACATATACATATACATATACATATACATATACATATACATATACATATACATATACATATACATATATATATATATATATATATATATATATATATATATTAACAAAAAATGAGAAAAGTGAACATGTTTGTAAAATGCAAATCTATTCAATATATGACAAATATTTTTGATTTTTGCAGGCCCCTGAGGGTCTTGCAAAACCCACAGAGATCTTTGGACCATATTTTAAGAAACACTAGCTTAGAATGTGAACTGTCACAATTACCCACATTCGATATCAAACTGTATGCACTAAAAAGAGTATTACGAAATATGTATTATAAAAAACTGTTCAGGGGAAAAAATTAATATGGCATTTCTACAGCTTCTCTCAACAGCCACAAAGTCACAGAAGTGCATAGACTGTGGAGGCCATGTTTCCAAGGCTTTCACAAACATAAGATTTTCATAGGATGGTAGATTTACTCTTTGAAATTCTTTAGATACAGTTTATCCATTAGAATAATAATAAAAAACTATCTAATCGAAGCATTCTAGGATAAACAGACCCCATGCATGTGGGAAGCTTGAAATCAGGATGTGGCTGTATGACATGTGATGTGCTATAAAAATATTTGGGCGTTTTTTTTTTTTACTTGGAAGTCAGTCTTTAATTCTCGGTAGGTGACCTGAGGATGTTTGCTTTGAAAAGAATTTAATCACATAACTGAAGAATGTGAAGAATGCCAAACAAGCTCACTCACAATACACATGCTCATTTAGTCACCTGCAGTATTAAACAACATTTTATTAATGAATGGTTGCAATGAAGCTACCAATTCCAAACTGTGTTCTCCACTTCACAATCTGAGGTTGAGGGAAGGCTAAACCTCGGGCAAAAATCACCTCTTTCCTGTCAAAATGTGGTTTTCCCAGATGTTAGGAAATACGGAAGTCTTGGGGTTCCTTGGCATTTATTCTGGGCTGTCCGATTAGACAGATTAATGCTTGAGGACAATAAACCATGAAGTAGCTATTCTGTGGGACTAGGAAAAATAGTGGAAGATAAGGCTGCTTGTGACATAAAACCTGCCCTGAGCCACATGCCCTTTCCCTTAAGTCCTGTGAAGGAATTATCCCATCCCCAGGGTTGCCCTCAGCCGCCAATTAGATGCTATATTTGCAGGAACCATCATTTCACCATGCAGATTTTATAGTTGAAAATTACAAGATATCTGTTCAAAAACTGAATTTAAAGTTTTTAAAAGTTTTTAAAAGTTTTAAAGTTTTAAAGTTTTAAAAAGTAAAGTAAAAAAAAGAAATAACAATATACATTCATGTTAGTCTAGAATTAAGAAATTGTTAATGGCTGCCTATACAGGTAGTCCTTGACTTATGACCCACAATTGAGCTCAAAATTTTTGTTGCTGAGGAAGACAGTTGTTAAGGGAGTTTTGTCCTATTTCATGACCTTTCTTGCCACAGTTGTTAAGTGACTGCACTTTCATAAATACATGCCATTTGCATGTCCTAATTTGGATCATGTGAGCATGGAGATAATGCAGCGGGTGTTAAGTGTGAAAAATGGCCATAAGTCACTCTTTTCAGAGCTCTTATAACTTTAAAAAGTCACAAAAAGAACAGTTATAAGTCAAGTACCACCTAATTTCCAAATACAACATAACTTGAAGAAATAATAAAATGGATACCATATCATTTTAGGCAGAAAGTCTTCTATGTGGAAGGAAAAAATATTGGCTGCATTCACACACTCTAAATTAAGGTTAATGTTAACTTTGGCTAGTTTTTCATGGCTAAACATCTTGTGTATGCCTAGCCAACCTGGGTAGTCTAAAAGAGTTATCTTAGTCTATTAACAGTTCCAAATCGGGGGTCTGGTGCACCTTTCTTATTCGTCCGTTTTATTAAAAGGCATAAACTTTTCTGAGTTGCAATTGGCTAGCCAATAAAAGAGTAGTTATTTCATAGTTCACAATGTTATCCAAATAGCGATGATTGGGTTAAAGCAACATTAACATGAATTATTCATGGAATATTTCATCAATGCAACCAGCAGTTGTTTGCTTGGTTGGTTTTTCATTTATTCTTAGTTCTTTCAGGTAATTGACCAATTGCTTAAGCATTTTAAAAAAATTGTTTGTGCTACCGCTAGGTGATGCTAAATAAGTCCACATTTTTACTAGCTGTGTTTGGCCTAGAGAGAGAGAAAAAGAGAAAGAGAGAAAGACAAAGACAGAGAGAGAGAGATTACTCTTTTCAGCCTTAACAGATTAACAGAGTTGGAAGGGACCTTTTGGGTCATCTAGTCCAACCCCTACCCAAGCACAACGAAAGCTTTCCAAAAACCAGAGCAAACAATTTTCAGCTTCAAAACCTTTCAGTGAGTCAAGATGTTGAGAAGATAAGGGCGGTAAATGTGGGAATTTGGAACCACCAGAGTGTCTCCAGGCATGCAAATTAAGCCTTATCAAGGCAGAGCCAAGGTTCATTCAGGACTCTCCCACAGCTGCAAAGAAGAAACAAATACAATTTCTTTTTTAGGTTCTCCATTTTGGGAAACACATTCTCCCTTTTCGAGTCATCGCTATTTTCAGGCATTTCCAGATGATTAGTATTTTCCTGCTGCAATTCTCTCCAGGTTGCTCTTGGGAATTGACTTTGGGATGAGTTCTGCAGTGTGTTGCTCCGGATCCTGATTTTTAACCTCGGGACTCAGATATGAATTGTGCATGAGCCGAGCAATCGAGAAGAATTTGGGTGGAATATTTCCAGATGGTTCTTCTTTTTCATCCAAGAAGCTCCAGCCAACTGCTGCGTGTTTCAGTGAAGGGCAGTTGCATGCACCATCCATATTCAGAACAATGTCGGTGAAAAGATTTTTCCTGGAGGATAGATAGCTATCACTCCCCCCCCCCCCACTTACTTGTGGGCTTTCACAAGGATTTTAGTTGGAGATAAGAGTTACAGAACAAGCTGAACTCTTGGGATTGACTGGTTATAATTGCTGGCAATAATTGCTAAGAATTATTACTATGATTGTAATATGAGTACTAGGCACATTGAACCAACTTTTTATTTTATATTAGCTCTATTCCTGTGCTTCACTACGAAACTATGTGGTCGGGCTTAGTTTTTTAGGAGGAAAATAAAGGAAAAAATTGTGCCTCTGCCGACCAGCATCCATCGGTATTCATCTGGCTAGCATCCTGTGAGTGAGAGAGTTGAGGGCTGTTTGGAAACTGAAACAGTCTGTGAGCAAGGAGCCTGGATGTGTCTTAGCTCAACTGTTCTGCAACTGCTGGCTACTGTGAAAGTGAAACTGAAACTCCTCTCCACTGCTTGTGTTTTGCATTTGGAACAGATTTCTTTTCAGGTGGGGAGTGGGAGTAGAACTCCTTAGCATCAGAATGTGTTAATAATAACATACGAAATACTAATGCTCTGATGGTCATTTTCAAAAATCCTTTCTTACTGAGCACTTAAAAGCCAAAGTTTCGGCAGAATCTCATCTGCCATCATCAGGCTTCTGTATTGTGTTTGTCTGTGAGTCAGTGAGTCTGTGAGTCACAATACAGAAGCCTGATGATGGCAGATGAGATTCTGCCGAAATGTTGTTACAACTTTAAAAGCACAACTATAATGACGTGGG